AAGTGTTCTCTTATAAATTTTGCTTGTTTTATACCCAGCTACTTCTTGTATTAATTTTGGAAAAACAAAAAAACAATACCTTTCTAAACGAAAGAATAAAATAATTCCCAAAAATGCTAATCCTTCAATAATTTTTTAAGCATGTACATAAGATCTATTAAAATATTCTATGAATAAGAAAAGGTAGCCGTTGACTGGCCCTTGATTCAAACCGCATTAAGTCATTTTCACACCAGTTCCCCTATTTAAACACTCCCCCAACTCTCTCCTGTCCGTCCAAACCAGTTAACATCCATTTCTCTTCTGAACAAACATCAAACAATATCGTCTTTTTACTCATTGGCACCCTTAGACAAACTTAAACAACACCAAACCAAGAATTTCAGGTTTCTCTCCTGCATTTTGGAAACCAGTCTTTGTTTTCACAATGGAGAACTTATTCCGCTTTGTTGATCAGGATCAAGATTTCTTTCAACGTAAATGGACTTTGGTCAATGGTCCGGTCATTGTTGGTGCCGGACCCTCAGGGCTAGCCACAGCTGCTTGCCTAAGAGAACAAGGGGTGCCCTTTGTTGTCCTTGAAAGAGCTGAATGCATAGCATCTTTGTGGCAAAAACGCACCTATGACAGGCTAACGCTTCACCTTCCCAAACAATTCTGCCAACTCCCTAAACTACCTTTCCCTGAGGATTTCCCTGAGTACCCAACAAAGAGACAGTTCATTGAATACCTTGAATCATATGCTAAGCATTTTGATATCAACCCAAAATTCAATGAGTGTGTGCAGTCAGCTAGATATGATGAGACCAGTGGTTTCTGGAGGGTCAAGACCGTAGTTACAAGTGGCTCAAACAAGACCGAGTTTGAATACATTTGCCGCTGGCTTGTGGTGGCCACAGGAGAAAATGCCGAGTGTGTGGTGCCTGATGTTGAAGGATTAGCTGAGTTTGGTGGTGAAGTTGTCCATGCTTGTGAGTACAAGTCTGGTGAAAAATTCAGGGGACAGAAAGTACTAGTTGTCGGCTGCGGCAACTCTGGCATGGAAGTTTCTCTCGATCTCTGCAACCACAATGCTTCAACCTCAATGGTGGTTCGCAGCTCGGTAAGTCATCAACGCAAACCTTTAAAGAGAAATATAACCATGTGATTGAATTCTAATGGGGTTTTTGTTCTGTTTTCTTTTTAACAGGTTCATGTCTTGCCAAGAGAAATTTTTGGGAAATCAACATATGAATTAGCCTTTTTGATGTTGAAATGGCTACCCCTTTGGCTTGTTGACAAGATTATGTTGATTTTGGCCTGGTTGGTGCTCGGAAACGCTGAGAAACATGGACTGAAAAGGCCATCAATGGGTCCATTGGAACTGAAGAACACTCAAGGAAAAACCCCAGTATTGGACATTGGTGCATTGGAGAAAATCATATCAGGTGACATCAATGTTGTTCCTGGAATCAAGCGTTTCTCACGTGGACAAGTTGAGCTTGTTAATGGTGAAAAACTTGATATCGATTCAGTTGTTCTGGCTACCGGATACCGCAGCAACGTTCCCTACTGGCTTCAGGTGAGAAAATGTTCTAAACTCTTATGTTCAGCTTTTGAAATTCTACTGAAAATTGTCAGACTATGATTTGTCCTATTCCTTTAAACCACAAATATTTATCATTTTTTAAAAGGGGAAAACTGCTTTTAAGAACCTTCTACAGATTTTTTTTTTTGACAAATACAGAGTTTTTTGTAGAAATGAACTAATCTTGTTTTGCTTCAATGATGAACAGGAAGGTGAATTTTTTTCCAATAATGGATTCCCAAAGGCTCCCTTCCCACATGGTTGGAAAGGCAATGCTGGACTGTATGCAGTTGGGTTCACAAGGAGAGGGCTTTCTGGTGCTTCCTCAGATGCCATGAGGATTGCACAAGATATTGGCAAGGTCTGGAAAGAGGAAACTAAACAGCACAAAAAGAGATCCATAGCTTGCCATAGACGATGCATTTCGCAGTTCTAAATTTCTAATCCTCAGGAAAAAACAAAAAAAAAAACCCAAAAAAAATGTTTCTGTAGCAGCAGCTAGGAAATTAACTTTGTTCTTTTGGGTTTTCTTTATTGTTGTAAAAAAGAATACTGTAAAAAAGGAAAAAAGAAACAAAACAGTTAGCACAGGCTGACAGAGCCCTCTCCCAAGGCCCAAATTTTGATTTCTTCGGGCATTTTGTACAGAGTAGGATGATGGGGCTTTCTTTTTTTTTTCCTTTTCATACAGTGTTTGATCATAATTCAGTAATAAAGTTACATGATACAATTTCCTTTCCCTATTCATAATTGCTCTGTCTCTTTTTGTTGATTGGCTTCAAGGTTTTATTCATAGTACTATTTATAAAATAAAGTTCCAATCCACAAAATTCATGACTTTGATATAGCCAAAAGCCTCATTCTCAACCAGTAAAGGTGATACTGTTACATCGCATGAATCATTGAAAATGCTTCCTCTAAACAGTTTAGATAAGAAATCCATCCCTGAACATAAAGTTTTACAAATGAATTGATCACTCTTGGAAGGAATAATAATTTCCCTACCACTCTCTTGGGATGTACATGACATGCTTTACAAATAACCATCACACTTTGTAATAATCAAGGTAAAGGCCCACTGATTCAATGTTTCAGATTTGCAAGTTGTCCCCATACACGTCTATTATAGATGGGGAGGACCCATGATCATGAGGGACGATGGAACCCAACTCCCACCATATACCCACAACCAGCTTTTTTTCCTCTCTTTTGAGAGGATAGCCAACTCCAAGATGGGTTACACATCGCTCTTCCCTCAAATATTATTATCTTTTTCTTTAACCAACTTAGTGAATAATCTAAGGCTTAAAAGTCTGATGCCATGCACATGGATAGAGCACGTCAAAGCTCTCATGGCAAAATTACAGTTAGATCTTTTCTGTAAAGCATATTCCAACACTTGAGAAGTAAGAACTAATTCATGGGTTTATGTCCTAATGAGCTTTTCCAATGAATATTATTAACTTAAAGAACTTATGACAGACGTTGAACTTAGCAAGGTCATTACATGATTCCATCCACAGAACGGACACAGCAACATTGCTTTCACTGAAACAAAAGTCCAACTTCCCTACCTCTGACTCTACCCTTGCTTATACTTTCCAACACCACTGATCAGTTATAAAACTTGAAAGAATTGGAATTCCAATAATATTTTATATATTGCTACCTCAAGTTGCAGGGTTGAGATGAGGATTGCAAATTGCAATAGGCAAATGGTATATCTTGGATTCAAGTTGTAGCCTTCGCTAATTTTACATTGCTTTCAGTTTAAATGCATCCAGTGTTCTTGGTTGGTGACTTGGTGTAATAAAAGAAATGCAATTGCCCTGATGCATCGGATGACAGGAGTACTGACGGCAAACTGGACTTATTGCAGCCGGTGGCTTCATGCTTTGCAGCTGAGCTACAGTGCCTTTCAGAAAAGAGATTTTAATTTAGAATTCAACAAAAAGCTCACCTATAATGAAAGGAGCCTAGAGGCCTTTCTCTTCACATTCCCAAACACTGAACATAGAGACAGCCCGCATTGGTATTTCAAAGACACTGATTCAGAAATTACAACAGGGCCCTCATTACCACACCCTTCACAGCAGCAACTGATCAGTTTTTTCCCAAGCCCTGACTGCACTTAACAGCTGAAAAGATCTGTCCTTTTCCCTGGTTTATCTACATGTTTCCAAACCCCTATAATTTTGGCATCACTGATAACAATAGTGAAATAACACATGGAATGGCTATCCTTTTTCCTTGCCAAAATCCCATTGCAAGGGACCCATCATCTTCATCTTGTACAAAACAATACTCTGCAAGTCAGAATTTGTTTCTTCACATGGTTGTGTCGACTAGAGACTCCGGCTGGGTAGACCTAAACCAAACAATGAATTTCAGTTGGATGAGTCCTGATTTTCTAAACATTCTAGTTCTAGTGAAAGATGAGTCTATAGCCTTGACAGTTGACATTGCGACTCTGATCGTGACAAGAGATTCCAGCTCAGTCGAGTTAAAAGATCAAAAACTGATATTCCCAGAGAGTAAATGATTGGCTTACTAATAACACAACAAGAATTTGATTTTATGATATGTTGGATAGACAAACTTGGGAACACCCCTACCAAGTCATAACCTCTCTAGATTTACATGCCAAGTTGTCATAAAGCCCACCTGTTCTATCCTATCCAGGGACTGAGTGTATAGGACACAGGACAAGCGAAATTTTAATTCCATCACGAGTAAGCGCATACCTACATACAGTTTGAGTACAATGCTATTGCAACTTACACCTTTTAATGCAGCCTAGCTATAAAATATGCTAAAGAAGAAACTGTTACACCATACTATATTTTATAAGAAATATATATATATATATATATATATTTACACACAAATGTACTCAGAGAAATGAGATTATAAGATCAAAATGCTTTCACATTTTTTCTTGGCATTTTGCGAAAGTTCATGTTAAAAAGAAAAAAGAGCTGCTAATTTACATTAATATTTTCAAAGAAATTGAGGATGTTTTCAAGTTAAGGGTTCAAATTGATTCCATAGTACTTTCATTTCTTCAAACCTTACACATTTTGCAATCTTAGTTGGTCTAATATAAACAAAGATAAGATTGTTAGTTGAAATTTTGAGATTAAGAATAAAATCTTATTGTCTAATCTTAATCTGTTTTTTCTTTTTAATTCAACTTTTTCTTGAAATTCCCAAAACTTTCTTGTAAACAAAAATGAAAATAAAAGAAAAGAAAATGGTTATTCAAGTTAAATTAAGCTTAGTTAAAACTATCAAAGCCCAAAGCCAAAACTAAAAACCAGCCCATTTGTATAAACAAATCCAAAAAAAAAAAAAAAAACTGAAACTATAAGGGAAGAAAAAGACAACAAGAGATCAATCTCGACACACAAACGAAAAAAACAGAAGAAAAACAATGGCAGTTGCATCCCATCTGGCAAAACTGAGCTCTGTTCCTCTAAGCCGTCCTGGGTCTTTCTCCTCTTCTTCTTTCTCTCACCTTCCATGCCATAAATTTCTACATATTCAAAGCAACAAAGCTTCAACATCAACCGCCTGGAGCTTAGGCATCAATAGCTCAAGGAAGCAACGCAAACCCATGTCTGTACGAGGCATGGCTTCCTCATTTGGGTCCAGGCTTGAGGAAAGTGTTAAGAAGACCGTGGCTGATAACCCTGTTGTTGTTTACTCCAAGAGTTGGTGCTCGTGGGTTCAAATCTCATCATTCTCCAAATTTTCATCTTTTTGAAATTTAATGTATTTTAGACGATTTATTGTGTGAATTGGGTTTTTTTTAGAGAGATTTGAAATGGGCTTTTTTTTTTCCCTCTCTTTGCAGGTATTCTTCGGAGGTGAAATCTTTGTTCAGGAAACTTGGTGTAGAACCATTGGCTATTGAATTGGATGAATTGGGTTAGTTTTCTTCAATTTTTTTGTCTTTGTATATTTATGATCTTCTTTTTTGTAATTTTTATAGAGTAATTGATGATAATAAACGGTGATTTTTGAGATCTTGCTGAACTTGAATTTTCCATATAGTTCGGATGAAATGCATTTGTCTTAATATATGTGATACAATGAAAATGGCTGAACGTTTGAATTGTTGGGGACCTTGTGAGTGTGCCCTCTTGCTTCTGCCTAATGAACTATTACTATTAGCAGAGACCCATCTTTGCTTATTGGCCTTGTGGAAAGTTGGTTGTTTTATGACCTCGACTGAGATGTTGAATGCAATGAGGGCTGAATCTTTCAAATTCAGAAAAAAAAAACATCAACCGTGAAATTTTGGTATATTTTCTGCGTTCATATAGAAACAAATAATGAAGAATGGAGATTTGATGGAGGCTAAGTTCAATATTTAGATGAAGTTAAATGAAATTTAAGGGTGACTTGTAGATCTTCAGTACCCTTCTGAAAACCCTTTGAAATAACGAGAGCCTAGGATTCATAACCGCTTTTTGCTTTTTATGAAAACCTTGAAAACTTTAACCAATAAGATAACTAATCATGGTAATACTTGGTTAAGTCCTAGTGCTTAGAAATCATAATAGTAAAAATATCGCCTATGCCAATATAAGTAACCATAGATTACTATTCACAATATGATACTCTCTCTTTGAAAATTTGGTATGGTAAAGCTAGAAATTAAGTTCATAAAACATTTTTCTTCAAAAAAAAAAAAAAGAGATTCCGGGTTGTTATTTGTGTTATCTTTCTCTGAATTCAACAGAAGCCAAGTATGAAATTTCATATCTCAAATTGGGCTGTGCAGTCAGTTACTTTTCATCTTAATATTGATCTTGCATATGCTTAAAGAGTTTTATCTTTTTCAGGTCCCCAAGGGCCCCAAGTGCAGAAGGTGCTGGAGCGGCTTACTGGGCAACACACTGTCCCTAATGTTTTTATTGGTAAGTAGTGCTTTTCTAGTCTTAGAACTACCTAACAGATTTAGAGCTACATTTACTTATAAACTGTCTGAATGGTTTATTTCTTTTATATGTATTAAATCCTTACCAGTCCATTTGTTATCTTTATTACATACTGTCTTTATAAACGGATGAAGTATATATTTGTGTTGTCAGATTGGTGTTTACAAGCAGAAAAGAAATTGATTGGCCAAAATTAAAAAAAAAAAAAAAAAAAAAACAAACAGCCTTTTATGATTGTGATTCTCAAATGAAATTGCAGTGACCAAAAGATTTTTTTTTATTCGTTTCTTGCTCTATGATACTATCCAACTACAAGCTAAGGAACTTTATTTAGAGTTATCGTTGGAACTATATTTAGCAATTCTAACTTTACAGAGGGTGCAGTTTCTGTTATTCTATTTTTTGTCTTTTTCTTTTTCCCTTTTCTCTCTCTGAAATGTTCTTCATTATATAATGATAACTAATGTTCAAATTTCTATCTGCTTCGCACAGGGGGCAATCACATTGGTGGTTGTACAGGTATTAATGCATTTCCCTCTCTTGAATCATACATTCATTAAGATGAGACTTAGCAGCATCTTTTACCAACCTAGAATATGTCTAACTGTTAAAATAAATCTGCATAATTTAGATTCTCAAATAATATATTAAACTTTTGAGTCATTTCCTGAATAATGTTATCCACCCTTCCATGGTTCTTGTGATTTTATGATTCTCTACTTCCTTCCACTAAAAAAAAACATTTTACTTTTCTAATATATCATTGCTTCAGTTTGGACTGCTAGTAATTCCCTAATCCTTGGCTCTTAGCTTGGGATGCATGATATGATTTTTGAAAATAACATGAGTTATTTTCATTGTTCTTTTTCCTTATTTTTTTCTGTTTGAGTAACTTGGGTTTCCTTGAAGTAAGAGACGCTTTCATGTAGAATTCAACTGAATAAATTTCGGTTGTTATTGTCGCTTCATATTCTGATTCAGATACTGTCAAACTATACCACAAAGGAGAGCTGGAACCTTTGCTGTCTGAAGCTAATGCTAAAAGGAAGGCAAACTAGTTCATTTGGCTTGTCATATGCCAGATATGACCCCCCAGCAAACTTTGGATCCAATTAAAAGGCATGCCACTTTCCTGCCTCCATAAACAGAAATGTTTCGTTTCAATTACATTTATTTACTTCAAAAATCCTAGAAGTTATTTCTTTATATCTCTCCATTCAAGTTGTATAATAAAACCGTGAAATTGATGCATCTATCTCATGTGAACCATGTTTGGTAATAATCCCACTTTAAAACCTGTTGGATTTAGCAATTCATGAGTTTCTGGAAAAAAAAATATATGAATCAAAAGATAATGTTTCAGCTTACAAGTACTTGGTAGTATTTTTAAGGTACTATTTTTGTTTGTAACTGTTATGAATATATATAACTGGCAGAGTGAGTATATTCTGGAGCTTTAATGGGTTTCATTGCATCATATTGGAAGATTTGTGAGTCAAACTTTTAGAAAGGCATGGAAATCCCTCAAAGGAACTGACAGTTCAACAACATTTTCCAGATGATCACCATTTTAACGCTGAAGGTTGAAATTGTAAACAAGATAAGTTGTGCATTCGTATTATATAAAATGCTAATAATTCATGTATATATATATATATATATATATGTTTTACATAAAAATTACGTATTATAATTTATATTGATATAAAAATATAAAATATATTTGTTTTTGTTTTATTAAATTTATATATAATTTTTATTAAAATATTAAATTATATTATATTTATATTTTTTTCATATCGTATCATCTCATCATAAATCGTCAGTCTTTGAAACATAGGTAGGAAAATAAGACTGGAAGAAATCATCAGGAGAGAACATGATAATATGATACACGTTTTTGTCACAAACAAGTTCAAGCTAGAGGGCAGGGGAAGAGGGGAAGACAATATGATCTTGAAAACCAAAATTACAAATGCTACAATGACTCATTTAACTTCTGCAATCTCATCCAATGCATAGTTGTTCGTAGATACATTGGCGTAATTAACTTTGTTGAATCGAACAACAACAGGGTAGCGAGTCTTGGGATCCTGCACGAAATGAACATCAGATTCAGAAAACTAGATCGTCAAAGAAATTAACATGCCACATGCAAGAGGGAGAAAAAGAGAAAGAGAGAGAGTGACCTGGTCAACTGCAACAACTGATCCATAGCTATTGTACCAGTAGGACTCCCTTCTAAGAATCTTGACCTAGGAGGTTAAAACCAATTGAAAGTTAGTTCAAACATACAATAATTCCAAGGCTCCTTTCATTTCTTGGCCAAAAATGTAACTCAAAAACTGAAAATATAAGCTCCTGTTTCTCTATAAAATTGATAATTCATGCATTTATATTTATTTATTTTGTATCAATTATATATAAAATATGAAAATTATTATATCACATTTCATATTAATGCATCAAATACTAAACACATTTATTTTGTTTTTGTTAAATTTATATACAATTCTTGTTAAGATTTTAAATTAGGTAACTTTCATGTCTTTTTTTCATATGGTATAATGTCCTTGCTAAAATTGAGATGTCGATTTTAATGCTCATATAGTATATAGATGTCTATTTTCATGCATTATTTCTGCATATATATATATATATATATATCCAATATGTTCAACAAATTTTCATTTAACTGCTAATTTAATGCTCATATACACACCATACAGTTGGCTAGCATGTGATCTTAGGGCAAGTTTTCTTTTCAGCTATCAAACAGATAAGATATGGGGTTATGATTAGAACTGATAATTCAATGGCGGTAGCTAACCTTGGTGCCTCTTTTTGGTCCAATGGGTGGTGGCTTAGGCTTAGGGGCTTCACCTCCTTCTCGTGCTGCAGTGGTGGTAGCTGGAGCTGGTGCTGCAGCCTCCTCAGCTGCTGCCTTCACAACAAGCCTTGAACTGTTGTTGTTCTTTGAAGGGAAAACCACCATGTTGCTCTTAGAAGCTGAGTTTGCATTCCCCTTGATATTGGGCGTCATCAAGAACCCTGAAGCAGCTGATGCCATGCTGCAGCTAGCCATGTCCACTCTCTTTCTGTCTCTGTAACAGATGGAAATGTGCAAGTGCTGCAGAACAGTTTGAAGAAAAGAAAGAAGAAAGATTGAGAGGCCTTGAATGAATTGGATTTTCTCTGTGTTTTGTGCTAAGAGAATTATCTGATCTTGAGAAAGTCGACTCTATCGTTTTCTCCACTAGGGAACTGCCACGTATGTACCATATCCCATTGTTTGGATAATGTGATCATTCACCTAAACGAGTTATAAAATTCTCTCCCAACTAAACTCCAAGAAGAAAAAAAAAAAAACTAAATATATGATTGTTTTTATTTTTGAATAATTGAATTTGTTAAGACAATTTTAATTATTGCAAAATAATTAACAAATAGAACTTTACTTGTTTTTTTATTATTTGCTTTTTACATTTTATTAAAAATTATTGCATAAAATAAGAAATAAACTAAACTAAAATCATTATTAATTAAAAATATATAAACAACTATTATAAACAACAATCTTAATTATAACAAATTTATATAAAATGTTTTATATTTTGATAGCCACCTTAGCAATAATAATTTTGACTATCACATTGATAGAATTTACACATAATTATTCAGCTAATTACGTTATTTTTTAAGTATAAAAGAAAAGGCTAGATGAAATAAGTATTAAATTGACGGTTTTTACTTTTTTTTAAATTATTTTCTGTTATTTTTTAAATGCTTTTATGTATTTTATTGATTTGAGCGTCAAAATAAGTTTTAAAATTTTTTTTACAAATTACATTTATTATTCTTCTCAAATTTTTTTTTTAAAAAAAAAAACTCTTCAATTATAAATAAAAAAAATTACATTAACAAAATGAAATACAATTATTCGATAACATAATTTTCAAAATTTTATTATTTTATGTCCAATTGGGTTACTCCTATTCTGCTTTAAAAAGAAATTTTAAGTAACAAAAATGTTTCTCAAAGTAAATAATAATAATAATAATAAAAGCAAGAGATCCAAGGTGTATACTGGGTCACGATCCGAGTTTGAGTCCGACCCGTGACATCTACACCCTTCCCCTATCTCTCACGTGCCGTTTTGGCGCCTAAACTAGTTTCTTCGCTTCGGTCTTTAACAACGGCCATAATCCCCCACGAGTTTCAGTTCCCCAATCCCCTCCCAGCCAAAGCTAGGGTTTTTGATTCAATCGTATCCCCAAAATCCAATGATAAAACTGACATCAAAATGAAGAGAAGAATTCAAGATACTCACCCTGAAAACCCATCTCCAATTCGAATTTCATTCCCTGAAGCTCTCGACAGAGGTCGGAGCCACGTAACCCAACGCGATCCCCAATCTAATCGAGGTTTTTCCTCTCTTTTTTTTTTTCTCAATTATTTATTTATTAAACGAAGATTGTGTTTAATTTGAACTTCTTTGGCTCTACCAAATGCTAGTATCATTCAAATTCGAGCTTACCTTTATAATTCTCTTTCAGATTTTGTTTGTTTGGACAGAAAACATTTTCCTGAAAACAATTTCCTTTTAAACGCCTAATTGGATGGAATTCAATTACATTACTTAATTGTTTCCACTTTAGATCTACCGTTTTAGCAAAGCGTTTGAAGAATTTTGTTTATATTTGATGGATTATCATAATCATGGGTATGCAGATGATGGCCCCAAAACTTCTGAGTATGCGTTTTTCAAGAAACTGAAGAAAGATGCCGGCCAAAGATTTGACTCTCATTCAATGCAAAGGGAGAAAAACCAACCAAACAAGTTGAATTCCAGCGAATGCCGTGGAGTAGAAGGTAGGTTCAAGTCAGATATTGTCCTCACTTTAACAGAAATTGACTGATATCACCTTCCTCTTTGCTTTTTAGAGGGGACCAAAATTGTAAGGAACATCTCCAAGTCCTCAGAGGTAACCAACATTACTAGAAATTGCTACAAGGAGTTTAGGTCCCCGCTGTCTGTAGCTAATATTAGCTCTAAGGAGCTGGGATCACTGTTGTCCATAAAAATTGTTGGTTCTAAGGACTCGAGATCACCGCTGCCCATTAACAATGTAACACGTATCAACTTTGATTCATTCCTCCCACCAGTTGACGGAGCAGCTAATAACTCGGGTATGCTATGTAGTGAATTCTTAAGTTCTTGTTTGTATCAATCCTTTGTTTGACTGATTGCTAACTTTGTCTTTTAACTATTGCTAAGTAGTTGTGCTTCAATAAATATCATTTGACTTATCATTTGCACCTATTGATGTCTGAGTTTGGGTTTTCAGTTTTAGTTTTATTGATGTAACTATTAGTCTATTACATGCTTGTTTGTGTTCATTTTGTTTTTATCAATCCTCAGACTTTTTTAAGTATTGCCCTAGTATCGCTGCAAAGTTGCCAACTTTTGTGTCCATTGTCAAAACCCCCTGGAACTCTTATGTTAAATTTCTGATGTCCAGTCCCCACAGAACCAAAAGTTATGAAGTTAGTCTTGCAAGTAACCAGTGTTCCCGCTTTCATTAACAGAGGTCAATTTAAAGAACGCCTTCTCAACCTTTGAGTCTATATGCAGCATAGAAGATTGGTTGGAGCATGATAGCAACAACAAGAGACTAGGAGGTAAAAATCCTCTTACTAATCTTTTTTATCCTCCATTCAAAAGCAAAGTAATATATATTTAGGGAAATGCTGCATATGTTTGTGCGGTTGTGCTTATGTTATAGCAATCAAAATTGTCCTTTTGCCTTTGCATTTTGGTAAACTGGCTGAGTTCTTGTTTTCACCTTGGAATTTCAAACTTTACATAAAGAAAAATACATCAAAGTGTCATCTGCTGTTTAAAACAAGATTAGTCATTGGCTAAAACTGAGAATTTTAAGCCATTTCATGAAATAAAATTAGATAATTTCAACTTTCAGGATCTCAGTCAGATCAAGTGGACTTATTTTCTAGAAAGAGACAAAAACTGCGTCAATGGGCTCATAACTCATTTCCTGAGATAGAGGAACTCTTTTCCAAGGGGTTAGACTCGTGATCATTAAAAGTAAATTTCATTCTTTTCACAATTCATATCATGCAGTGAGTAGATGTTCTCTCAGGTATGATCTTATTTCAATGCTCCTTAGTCGGCTTTTACCTTGGAGCAATGAGAAAAATGTATGCTCTTTAAACTTTCTGTATGATATGACTTCTTTTGTAAACTTGATTACATAGGAAAAATATTGGCTTTTGCAGACTTGCGGAAGTGCTGAGTCTGCACCAATGGAGAGCAATACTAATGCAGAGTTACTTGCCTGCCCTAAGTCAGATATTCCTTCTGAGAAACTTTATAGGTTGCCAAAAAGGAACAACATGGAAGTTGAATATATGCCATACTTGGAAAATGGTACATCATGTTATTGGTCAGACAGATCGAGGGAGACCATGCTCTCCAATATCTGCTCTCCAACCTATAAAAACCACAGCACCCTTCAAAAGAATTTAGAGTTACCTAGCTGTGAACTAAGACGGAAAAATTTGATCTCCTGCATCGAAGGTGAGTCCACTTTTGGCTTTCCATTGGTGAGACATGGATCTTTTCCTCCATTTAGTTCTTTCAAAGAACCAGATGACTTGCATGATTCAAATGGATCTCTGCCTGGAAGAGAGCCACATTTGCTACTGCTTGAATGGGATTCTGTAAACATTAATGAAAGGAGCTTATCAGCAACTTGTCAGAATACAAATTGGACTATAATTCCTGCAGTACGAAGTTCATGGGATCATAAACAAATTCTAAATAATTGGTGTGAACTATCTGATATACATGAGTTGTGTTCATCACCTGTACAGGGAAATTATCCCCAAGATTTTTGTACATTACTGCCGCCCAATAGTACCAGCTATGGTAAGCATGATTTTGGAAGATCAATTTTAGAAGAAGAGGAAGAAACAGTTGCAGAGTTGAACCATCTTCCTTTGACCTTATCACATTCGTCAAAGGGCCTTAATCTAATTGCAGATTGTGATCTTTATGGAATTGCATGTAAAGGTAGTGAGACCAATGACATTCTCCGATCTCCTGGAAATCACTTTGGCTTCATGAGCAGGGCTTTAGGTGAGGAGAACAGTACTCCTGGTTTTGGAACTCACCTTTCATTTGCTCTTGATGTAGAATGGAAATGCTTACAATCAAGCGATTTAAGAAGAGAGCGATGCTTATCTACTTACAATGATCTTCAATTCCTTGAAAAGGAAATCATATATTCAAACTTTCTTAGTGAAGATGAATTTGAGAGTTCCTCTGTTGGTTCAAGTTGTAGAAGCCTTATGTCCAGTGAAGATATGGTAGACATTCATGACTGGCAATCTTTCTATTTCCAAATATCTCGCAACAAAGATAAGGCATATCCCTTGCTGCTTGATAAATCAAGTTGGGAGGATTGCACAGAAGAAACATATGATAGTGATAATCAATTCAAATGCATTTGACGCTTTCTTTGCCTTACATCGTGGTCCTTACTTTTATTAAGATGTCGACTGGCTTGAAGCCTAAACAATGCTGTTATATTTTGCACTTCAGCCAACAAGGCACATGTAGCTAAATTTTCTAATCGAATTAGAAATGTATTAAAAGTTTTAGGTGGATGGAGTTCCTTGATGTATTTTGGTGATCTTACAGTAGTTCATACCATCTTTCTTGTGGGAATTGCCATTTAGGATTGTTTGGCTATCTTATTAAAAAATGACTGGTTGAGGTAAGGATGCATCATGTTACATGTAAGAAGACTTCCAGCTCTGATTTTTGAATAGCCTAGAAATATTGTGATATATTAGGGGTTAAAAAATGGCCAATTGCATTCTTAGAGTAGCCATCTATAGCAAAAAAAAACAAAAGGATTTTCTGAGTTGGGAATGAAGTTATGCAATTTGCATTGAAGTTCTCAATAGGGAAAATGAGTATTCATCCATGCATCAGAAAGCAAGCATCCAGGTTCTGATTTCTGAGTCTCCTGAGTCCTGATTCAGCATCAGCAGCAGCAGCAGCAGCAGAGGCAGCAGCATATAAATGAAAAAAGGTACAAATCTTTCTAGCTACATTAATTCAATTAATGTCTGTTAAATGTCTATTTTGTGTTAATTATTTGTTAAACACAAAATATCATATTATAATTTATGTTAACTTATTAAATATAAAATATATTTTTTTATTTTTATTAAATTCATATATTATTTTTGTCTAAATTTTAAATTATATATATTTTTTCATATTATTATTATATCGTTTCATTATATTATATCTAGAATTATTATATTTATAAGTCATATGACCAACTAAGCCTGCCTGCCATTGCCATTTAACTAAATACAAAGTCTTATAATTGTAAAATCATACCTTTCTTATTACTACTTCTGTACTACATCATCAATTCCCTTAATAACGCACAATTGAAAAAATAAATAAATAAAAGTGCAAACCACAATAAAAGCGGAAAATTCTTTCGAACGTTATTGCGGTCCCAAATTCTGCCAATCCCCAAGTTGTCCATCGCCTGTCGAGCATTTTAGCTTGCATGCACTTTGTTCACCTTTCCTTGACGAATCTTCTTTCTTGATCAAACCAATGGATATACTGTTTGGATTTAGGTCTAAAATGTATTTTAAAAGATTGAAATATTAATATAAAAAATTTTTTTATAGTAACAACGAGAAAATAAGATTTAATATAAATAACGGCATATTATTTTGTAAATAATATAAGCTTTTAAAGGCAAAGATTTAATAATCTTCCAAATGCACCTCAAAATATGGGAAGCATATAAATATACAAATAATGGACAAATTTTGTATCAAAACACGTAATAAAGAAAGGTCAAACCTATCATCAAAACAAAAGGAGAGTTTCCATTTAAGAGAAACATAACAGAAATTCTGATTAAGTCTAAGTGATTTTATTTTTGGGGAGCGGGGAGGCTAAGGGCGTTTTTCTTTGATCTAAATTTTCATATTTACATCGAAACGCCAGCAAATAGGAAAAAAACAACTGAAAGGATTAAAAAATTGTTATTATTAATAATTATTTTTATTGGCCAAAAAAAAAATTTAAGTGAAGCATTTCCCCCACTAAATTTTGCACCGTCAAAGGTGTGTTTGTTGAGCATTGACAAAAAAAACTTAGAACGAAACTTCCCAACTCTAATTTCAATTAGAGAAGGTGGTCTAACTTGAATTCGGTAAGTTTCAATCCGATCTCTTAGATTTGATTTTTTTTTTAATTGAATATTGGATCGAATAATAATAAACAAAAATCAAAATTAAATTTTAAGCAAATTCGATCAAATATATATAATTATTTATTTATATTAAAAATAATATTTTATTAACCAATTAAAAAAAGCACAAACTTAAAAGAAAGAAGGCTAATGCTTTTTGCTTGATTAACTAATCAAATTAATAATTCATAATTTAATTAAAAAATTTTCGTAAAAAATCAAATTATGATTGCCAGATAATCAAATTAGTTCAATACAACTTTTTTTTTAAATATAAATTAATATTTTTTCAGGAGATTTTTTTTTTCAAATAAAATCATAACTTGAGAATAAAAGAAATGATTTTAAGCATGAAAACCCACACTCTATTAAGTATTATTCATTTTAATATGAAAATTTCGTAATTTTATTTTATAAAAAATATCGTACAAGTAAAAACAAATTTGTACATATAAATTAAAACGATTTTCTATAATATTTTAATGTAAAATTAAGACATTACAACGAATATTAAAATTTAATCGTTAATTTTATTAAATATTATTTTTTTAAATGATTGTTTTATGTTATTTATCAACTTAACTAGTTTGGCATACTTTTCTCAAAATAGAGGGATAATTAAGTCTAATGCTTTGTAAATATAATATTGATTTTTTTTTAAGTTATGATTAAATCAAGTAAAGACCTCATTATGGGTAGGTGTGGATTAGTGATTGGGGGAATGAACCAAAATAAGAACTGTCTCTATCCATTTAGGTGAATGATTTAAAAAAAAAAAATCAAAAGGATATGCAAAATCATGCATAAAAAATGTGACATTACAAAATCAAAGAAGTGGACTTACTTTTATTTTTCTCGTGTCAAGCAACTGAACATTTAAAACTCTTTTTCAATTCTTCAATCCCTCTCCCTCCAAAAAAAAAAAAAAATCATTATTAAGTGCAATAATTTCAATTGTTGTTTCATAGGAAACATCTTCCTAACTTTATTTGAATTCATCATAATTTGATACGAATGAAAAAAAAAAACTTTTATGATCAAAAACACAAAAAGATTTAATCATACTTATCCCCATTGGATCGGTAATTGACAAGGTTAGAGTTTTTTTTTATATTTTTTTATTAAGAATGGGTTGAATTCAAAATTTGAAACTTTAGAAAGTTTTTTATATGGATTTATTTGTTTAAAATTTACGATAATTTACATTCAATAATTGCATCACTTTAAAAATTTTATATGACAGTGATTTAATATTATTTTTTAATTAATTTATATTTATGAAAAATATAGTTAACATTACTTCAAAAAATTAATTACTTAAAATTTTAAAAAATCAATTTTTTTAATCACTTATCCTAAAAAAAAATTATGTTATAAATTTATATGGACTAAAAAAAGGTAAAAATTTTATTTAATAATTTTAAAAAAATTATTTTTATTAAAATTTGATTTATATTTTGTAGTTTCGTAAATTATTATTTTGATTAAAAAAATAAACCAAAGTTTTGAATTTACCACACTGTTACTTTCTTTCTTTTCGGTAACAAGCCGTTGGTGAATATTTAATGTGTTTTTAAAGAAAAAAAAGGTTATTCAACTGTTGATTTTCCATCCCCTAAAAAAAAAAAAAAAGGCGATTCAACTTATTAGTATTAACTTTGCTTTATAATCATCGAAGTAGGAGAGGCGGTCGAGACTGGGCCTAATATTTTCATGTCATTTATGATAGATTTTTATTATATTTTGAATTTTTTCCAGTAAATGATTCTTACATATTAATTGAAGAACACCATTTTTTCACTATCAAGTATCTATTTTTATTCTTTAAAATAATAATAAAAAAGGATTTTACCTATGTTTTAAATCACATTAATAATAAATTTAAAATTTAATTTAATTAATTCATATAATTATTTCAAAAAAAATATTTAATAAACTTATAATTTATTTTTTATTTTAAAATTGTAATATCTTTTACAAAAAATACCACTATGAAGTGCATAATAATTTTAGTAATCATACTCTTCACTTACTTGCTAAATAAATTAGCATTAGAATTTCCATTTTAACTCATTCTCAAAAAATTAAAACAACCATTACTTAATATTGAGTTTATTAAATCTTGTATTTATTAAAAACATTTGAGTTTTGACTTTTTCATTTGGTAGTTTTATTTTTAAATGGTGCAGGTGTCACGGATCGAGACTTAAGTTCTGAACTCGCACAACTTCGAAACTTAAATCTCAACCCGTAACACAGGGACATAACTGGGGGCTGACAGGTGCTATAGTCCCACCCAAAATTATTTTTACACTATTATAGCAGAATATTTCACCTCAAAAGTAATATATAGTCTTTTTTTTTTTAATAAAATTATTTTTTGGTTCCTCATTTTTCATACTTTTGGTTTAGAAATGGTGTATTATTATTTTGTTCAATTTTTTTTCATTATATTTTGTTTAGTGTTAAATAGTTTGATTTATTACAAAATTTTTTTAAAATATTTAATATTTTTTGTACAATTAGTTTAGTTATCGAATAATAATATAATTTTATCCATAAAATCATATATGATGTATAAGATAATAATCATTTTATATCATATTTAGATTATATATAAAGAATTTGATATAATTGTAAGAAACATTAATCATTTTTTTTATATAAGATGATTCAACTCTTAAAAAGTAAAAAATTATTTTTAATCAAAGATATTAAATTTACGTATTTTATTATATTATTAAAAATTATAATAGTAATTTAAATTATATAAAATTTAAAAAATAATTTTAATTAATAAATAAAATTATCTTATTATAATTATTTACACATAAAAAATAAAATAAAATAATATTATTCAATCTAATTATATCCAAAATATCATTTTATTTTATTCTATTCAAATTTTGTACATTAAATATGCCATTTAACGAACAATATAGTTTTTTTTTTTTGAAACCCTTTGATATTTGATAATTATTTTAAATTTTAATTAATTCAAGCTTTTTAAAATTTATTTTTTTCATTCATAAATTTTAAAATCGAAATCTTACTTAAAAAAATCAAACTTTTTACTAATAAAACTAACAAATATTAGTAATATTTTGGAATTTTTTTTTAGAGTGTTAAGAACTCTTATTATCGTAGACTTTGTTTGGTATTGAAGTGGCAACGGACTTTTGGATTAAAAGTTGCGTTTGTCCCTCGTCTTATTGCCAAACCAGAAACAAAATTTTAATTTTTGAGCCTAAAGGCTTTGGCTCGAACAAGAATGCAAGATATATTTTTGCAATAAAAAATTATAATATGTGAAAAAATAAATTTTTTATATCTCTATTTTAATTTTATATTTATTTAAATATTTTAAATTATTTATCAAAAAATATTTTAAATTTTTAATTTATAAAAATATTAGGATGATAATATCAAATATTTTAAAAAATTTTATCATATTTTTTAGGTTAAAGGGTCAAAAAATTTTGAACAAAAATTTAATAATCATTCAAATTCTTATCCATTTTATTATAATCAATTAAATTTTCAAAATTTATCAATTAAAATCTTATTAAATAAAAATTAGATAACCATTATATCAAATTTTATCTAATTAAAGGTTCTATGAAAGTAAAAATAAATATTTAAAAGTTTAATTAGATAAAAATAAATATTTAAAAATTCAATTAATCTGAAAAAAATTAAGTGTTTGATTAATTATAAATAAAATATTAAAATTTTAAATAATTATTAGATTTTTGTATAAATTTTTTTATATCGTTTTGCCTTTTTTTATTGTCATTTCCTTCAAAGGTATTTTCCTTTACTCCCAAGGGCATAGGTAACGGAACGCCTAATAATAGCCTAGCCAGTTAAATAAATCCAGAGAAAGTAGGGGCTAAATAAAAAATAAAACAGAGACGGGGGACGTAAATGAAAAATCGTGAAAAAGTTACCATTCTCATCATTATTAACTTTTTTGTGACTTAAAAGGAATAATATTTATCTCGTTCACCCCCATGCTCCCATGCTCTCCCTCACTCACTCCAGTTCTCGCTCTCTTCCGTAATCGAAACACATAAATGAATCCCAATTAAATAAGCTGTTTCGAGTCCGACACAGAGTCGGTGGAGAGAGAGTGGCAATTTTTTTTTTTTTTTGCATTTCCATAGCCAAAAAAGCCAAAGCCAAGGTCATAGTTCTTTTCGCTCGCATAGCTTTCCTTTTCAGACACGCACTCTGCAGAAACAGCGCCGCCCATTGCCGCCGTGCTTGTCAGTTTCCGGCGAATCTCGGGCGACATTTCTCGTGATGTCAGATTCTGATCACCAGTTCAGTCTCTCTCTCTCTCTCTCTAAACGATTATCTGCTTCTTACACCCAAGGAGAAACGCGTTATTTTCTTGATCGGTTTCTAGGGAGAGCTAAGGAGCACTTTTCAGTTTCACCGTTTTCTGGTGTTCTTCTTCCGATCTCTCCTTTTTTCGATGTTTTTATTATTTTCAAAGAGATCTTACTAAAAAACGAAATCTAATTTCTTTTTTCTAGATTTTATTTTCTTTCACTCTGCAGTGATCTCAGCTTTCTAGAAGTTTTTTTTTTTTTAATTAGATTCTTCCTTTTTGATTCGACAGATTTTGGTTTTTGAATCTCAAAGTTCGTTCTCTTTACTTAATTTAGAATAATAATTTTTTTTCATTTTTTCACAATTTCCAATGAATGCAGTTGATTTGATACTTTGATCATTGTCAAATTACATTAGAAATTTGATTTTTAAAAGTAAAGAATATTTTGCCGTTTTTATTCCGAGCTTGTAGCGACGTATGATGTGATGCAACATGTGAGAAAAAGAGAATGTTTTCTGAAATTTTCTCTCTGCAAAAAAAAAAAAAAAAAACTTATCTTGTTTACCTTCTCTCATATTCATTTCCTTTCAAAATCAAGTTCGTTTTTTCTTCTTTGTTTTTCAAGCCTTTGTCTTTGCTTTTCTTTTTTCTTCGGGGAGGGGTAAACCGGTTTCCAGGTATGGAATTTAGACCTGGAATTTGATTGGTAAAGAAAGTAGCATTTTTTGAGTTGGTTAGGACTAGGGAGTATAAAATTCCGTCAATTTCTTTTTTCCTTTGAACTTTATTCTGTTAAATGCACTTTCATTTAACTGATTTGTAACTTGAATTTGATATTTTCCCTTTTCCCTCAGTTGATTTTATTTTTCTTTTTGTATTTTTAAGGAGAACTTTGGAAATTAATTTGGGGTTTTTATTTATGTGGTTAACAGGTGTTGAAATGAATGGGATTCAGAAAAGGAAAGGTCAGAATATTGAGAAATTTCCAGGATGCCTGGGCAGGATGGTAAACCTGTTTGATTTGAACACAGGTGTTCCTGGCAACCGGCTGCTTACTGATAAACCGCATCGTGATGGTGATTTCCTTTTCATGAAAAAGCTATTAATTTTTTTTCCTTTTCTTTTTCAACTACTCTGAACTTTGAACCTTTTGATATGTGGATGTTGGGATGATTTAGGGATAGTTGTTTTCTCAATTGTGTGTTGATCAGATGAATTATGGCATGGTTCCCATGATCAGCATTTGTTTCAATATGTCTTTTTTCCCTTCTATACAATGCATTTTGCGTTTCTTGTTGTCCCTTGTTAATTAAAGCAATTTCAGAACTCTGTAAATGTCATTTGGGAAAGCTGACTGCTGCATATAGCTTTATATTTTCTTACAAACTTTTGAAAGTTTCTAAAATGGTTTTAGATTATGGAATTTTATTTTGATTCTAGAGGACAGTTGTTCTAGTTAATTTTGATTGCCTCAAGTACTGATACTTGCCTTTTCTATGTCTTTCTATGTTTCTGTGTTAGCTCACTGGCAGTTTTAAGTTGTACAGGATTTTTCCCCATAAAATCACTTTGATATTAAAATCTATACATGAATCTAGTGTAGGTTATTAATATTTTTGGTTGTTTATGCTTCAATTATATATTAATCTTGACATGGTGCTGGTTGATATGCAGGTTCCTCGCACTCAAGGAGTCAATCTGACGTGGTAAGGATGTTGAGCCCCACCTTTAGAGACCAGATAGAGGATAAAGTTGTAAATATTGGGTGTTTAGTCTCTATAATGGAGTAGTAATTATTATAAACAAGTTGGAAACAAATTCTGTGCAGAACTTGTCTCTATATCTTCCACTTGGATTATAATATTAAATATCCTTGTGTCCTGACCTGTATTGCATTTTTTGGTGCGAACAGATTGTTTCTGAGTTAAGGAGAACTTTGTCAAACAAGAAAGGTAATGGAACACCCATGAAGATGCTCATAGCCCAGGAAATGTCAAACGAAGTGGAGTCTAAGCATAACCCGTCCAATGTGGTTGCTAAGCTGATGGGACTCGATGCATTACCAAGGCAGCAGCATAATTTAGCTGCACAAAGATGCCATTTGAAAGGTTCTTCTCGGCATTCTTTGAGTCATTCTGAGATACCAGTGGAAGGCTGGGAGCAAGGTCAAGGCTTTTCAGACAAGCAAATGCAATGTGATGTAAATCTTTGCCAAGAGCTGAACAAATACAAAGATGTTTATGAAATATGGCAACAGTCCCCTCGGACAACTTATGCAAGGGATAGCTCTCCACAAAAAGGAAGCTATAATGATAATGTGAATGAGAAAAAAATGGCTCTAGTTCGTCAGAAGTTTATGGAAGCAAAACATCTCGTGACAGATGAAAGGCTTCGCCAGACCAAGGAATTTCAAGATGCACTGGAAGTTCTGAGTTCCAATAGGGAGTTATTTCTCAAGTTTCTGGAAGAGCCAAATTCCACGTTCTCTCAACGTCTCTACAATTTCCGGTCTTTACCTCTACCTCCTGAGACTAAGTGTATCACTGTTCTTAGACATTCTAAGATGGTTGACAAAGAGAAATTTGCTGGAATATGGAAGAAAGGTGATAAACAGACAAAGAAACCATCACAGATGGTTCAAGTAACTGGGTGGGATAGAAATAAAAATGCATGTTCTTCTCCTTTCCCCAGTCTAAAAGTTGATGAATATCCTTCCCAACCAACTAGAATAGTGGTATTGAAGCCCGGCCCAGGGAAGACTCAGGACAATAAGACTGTGGCATCTCCATCTCCATCATCACCTAGAATATTAAAGAGTGAAGATTTTTATGGGGAACCTGAAGATGACGATGCACGAGAATCAAGAGAAGTGGCAAAGGAAATCACTAGGCAGATGTGTGAAAATCTGATGGGTCACTGGAGGGATGAAACATTGATTTCTTCTGTGTTTTCTAATGGCTACATTGGTGATGATAGTTCATTTAATAGATCTGAAAATGGGTATGCTGTGGAAAACCTAAGTGATTCGGAAGTCATGTCACCAACTTCTAGACATTCATGGGATTACGTCAATAGGTTTGGTAGCCCTTATTCTTCCTCTTCTTTCAGTCGTGCATCTTGTTCTCCTGAGTCCTCAGTTTGCAGGGAAGCAAAGAAGCGGCTTTCAGAAAGATGGGCCATGATGGCATCAAATGGGAGTTCTCAGGAACAAAGACACATCAGGAGAAGCTCAAGCACATTGGGTGAGATGCTTGCTCTCTCTGATACAAAGAAGTTGCTGAGATCTGAAGAGGGAAGTAATAAGGAACAAGAACCTAGGGGATCAACTTCCTGTATAGCTAGTAATTTGAATAAAGAAGAAAGTACAAGTGATTCTCCCAAGAATCTTGTCAGGTCAAAATCTGTACCTGTGTCTTCTAGTGTGTGTGGTGCAAGGCTTAATGTTGAAGTTTCTGATCCCGAAGCTGGCAAAGAACAAGTTTCCAAGCAACTGACAAAGGCAAAGAGCATGAAATCATCTTTAAAAGGGAAAGTGTCAAGTTTATTTTTCTCAAAGAATAAGAAAACGAATAAAGAAAAATCTAGTGGATCTCATTCTACAGATGAATCTCCTTCTGCAACTCCTGGAACACCTCGGTCATCCATAATTGATCCTCGAAAGATTAGCAATGATGCATCTCAGTGTGTTAATGACAGTTGCATCCAAGAGTGTTTGTCTCCTGTTCTAGGTGGATTGAAAAGTAAAACTCCTTTACCAGATTTGACTAGCGTGGGACAGAAGCAAGGCATGATTTCTGTAGAGGTAGTTCAAAACTTTCTTAGTTTCTTGGCCATGCATTTGTTTATTGAATGTTTATATCTTGTTTTATACACAGATGTACATATTAACATACATACATCCTGCTCTAGTTTTTCTGCACTGCTATAAGATTTGACTGATGGTTATGTTGCCTTCCATTTGTTTAATCTAGGAAAGAAGAAGGTAGCACATGAAATTCGAATTTTCTTTTCTTATTTTCTGAAGTTGTGGGAATGCTGAATGAGAATGGGTATAATTCCGCCAATAGGGTTAGAATATATTTTGCTAATATGATGGAAGGGTACCTAGAGTTGTGTGAATGTATAATTCCTTAAATAGGGTTAGAATACCATTTGCCAACACAATGGGTTTAGGGGTGGTGATGTGGCAACTCTAAGCAATTTAAATTGTGAAATAATGTCTTCATTTGCTAGAAATGTCTTCACCTTTTACGATTGAAACAACTAATTAAGGGTTGATCTCATGTATAAGGGTGTATTTTCTATTTGCTAATTGTTCTTGGCTGTGACAATTATCATTCATACTTTAGTCAACTTAAGATGTCAGTATTGCAAAAAAAAAAAAAAATTTAAGATGTCAGCACCCAATTTTATGAGCCGATAGTCACCATGAAATGTAGATTCTTTTTAGTTAAACTTGTTATCAGGTTATTTGTGTTTTACACTTGTATGACTTGTTTTTCAGTAATGTGCTTACCTTTTGTAGGGAGGGCTGTCTGTAGTAAAACCTTCAATACCTATCCATATAAGTGAGAATCCGGACCAGCCAAGTCCTATCTCAGTTTTAGAACCTCCATTTGAGGAGGATGAAAACACAATTCCAGCATCATCCGGCGGTATCAAACCAGTGCACCTAGGTAAACTTCACTTGTTGAACTGGAAATTTGTTGTTTGTCTATATTCTTATTTTCTCTTGTCCTTATCTCGTCCTTTTTATTAATACAGGACTGGAGGTGCCACCTAAGTCTAACTTGATTGACAAGTCACCACCTATAGGATCAATTGCTCGCAACCTGTCATGGGATGAGTCTTGTTCAGAGACAGCCACATTATATCCATCAAAATTATCTTCGGTTTCCCCAGGTGCCAAGGAGGAACAAGATTGGGTTTGCTCTATCCAATCACTATTATCAGCCGCTGGTCTCAATGGCGAGGTGCAGTTTAAATCATTTATTGCCAGATGGCATTCGCCTGAAAGCCCACTGGACCCATCCTTGAGGGACAAATATGCCAACTTGAAAGACAAGGAGCTTCTCCATGAGGCTAAGCGAAGAAAATGGAGATCAAACAGGAAGCTTGTGTTCGACTGTGTCAATGCAGCATTACTGGAAATCACAGATTATAGGTCAGACAATTGCATGAGAGCAATGTCATTCGGCGGAGCCCAGATGAGGGTCATGGATGGTGCATCACCCATGCTGGTTGACCATGTGTGGGCCCAAATGAGGGAATGGTTTTCCCACGAGGTGAAATGTTCCTTGGGTGACGACGAAGACAGCAACAGCATGATCTTGGAAAGGATGGTGCAGAAAGAACTGGTGGGTAAAGGGTGGGTTGATCACATGAAATTGGAAGTAGATAATTTGGGAAGAGAAATAGAAGGGAAGTTGGTAGAAGAGCTTGTGGACGAGGCAATCGTCGATTTGACCGGTAGCGTCTTTTGAGGCTTTTTTTTTTTTAACCTCTCCTTCCTCTATTAATTGTAACTTTATTATTTTGTGAATTTGTGCATTTGATGTTCAAGAAAGATGATGCTATCCACCTTATTTGTTAATGCTGCACGAATGTTTATATATATTTCTAATATTTAATCTGATAAAATTGTTTCATTTTCATGTTTTGAGTCTTCTGGTCGACCATTAGCTGATAGATACATTTAATTTATAATTTTTTATTATAATTTTATAATTAATCAATTATAATTTAAAATTATGTAAGGATTTATTCTTTATAAATATTGATATTTTGTAAAATTTTAATAGATTTTATATAATTTTAAATTATAATTGATCCTCATGGTATGGTATAATTGACCTATGTCAATCAGGCCCTGTATTTTCCTTATTTTAACTGTCGTTGTATCGAAAATTGCTCTGTTGATGTCATCAAGCTATTACTACATTCCCCATGTTATCAGGTTGATTTTTTTTCTGAATATGGAAAAGCCATTTTGTCTGTACGTGAAGGACAAGAGACCTTGAGGTGGAGTGCTGACCCTCACGGAGACAGGCCATAACTGCCGAAGCTAAGACTGAGAATAACCCACGGAAATTGGTAAACCTTTGATTGCATTGGAAGATGAAAATTAATTCATTCGGCTGGGTATATATCCTTGTTTTTATTTCTCTTAATGATTAGGTTCATTTGAAACCAACATGACATTAACCTTTTTAATCCAAAACCAGTTTCTTTTGATAGATCAAGTCCGATATTGAGCTGGATGCCATGAATTTGACAAGGATGCTTCAGTTTCACTTCCTCAACTTCACCTGTACGAACCAATATAAGGACAACAAACTTCTACTTGAGGGGTGAATCTTAAACTTCCCAAATTCATCATTTCCGCAAGTCTGATTCATAAAATTCTATGACTACATGAAATTTTGATATAATAACAGCTTTCACTATTCTTGTCATTATCACATGGGTTAGTGTCTGGTGCTCCTTTTTTCTTTTTTTTTTTTCTCTTTTTCCTTTACCTCTTTATTCACATGCTGTTCGGATGAATCCATCTTTTCACTCTGCTGGTCTGAAGCTACTAGTCAAAATGAAAACAGTTCAAGAAAGAGAGCTAAAACGAAAAATGAATGAGGGTAATTTTCCAAAGACTAAAACAAGATTCAAGATAGGCACAAGTCTGTTATTACAATTTGGTTGGATAATAATGTTAATTGTGTTCATGCTTTCAATTTTTTTGGAGTTATTATTAATAGGGCAATGTTCAAATTCCATCCGTATCAAACTACTTTTTCGGATATGATCTGTTTTTTTGTATTTTATACTGTCTTATCGTCTCGTATAAATGTGTGTGAAAGTGAAACTATCAAGGCTGATTTTTTTTTTTTTATAACCAAAAATTTCTTCAAAAACCCACCCATAAAATTAGAAGAAAATCGTGTCTCCTCCACAAACCTTTCTTAATTCATCTTTAGCACATGGATTAACCATGCTAAAAAACAAGTTGGGTTCACAGCACTGATGTCTTCATATATTCTTTCAAAGCACAAACGAACCCTTTGATAGTTGACTGGCTTTCCAATAAGGTAGTTTTGATTTGGAGAAAATGCATTTAGGGGAGGAAAAAAAATAACAAAGCATGAACACTTCTATCTATAGTGATTTGAACCATTATTATACAACAAGGATGGAATGCGAGGGTGGGTTTTCTAATGGTACATAAAAATAGTAAAATATGGGTTTTCTTAAAGAGAAAAATTTTAACCTAAAGCAATCCTGAATTTTTGGATGTTGATTGTTCAAGCCTAGACTACCATATTTCCACAAGTTTCTGCTAAACCATGACTTGGGTTAGCTGCTCCATTTATGCCAACCAACCAAGATGATAACAATGACACATCCCCACTCTACTAGAGGTTAGATAAAACATTTATGAGCAATGTTGACTTGATAGATCAGATGCTCCTTCTTTAATAATAACAAAAAGATGAGAATTACCAAGTACGTTTGTGTGATTTGTGTTACCCTACTTAATTCTTTGAAACGATGAAAATAACTTCTAACTAACAATTTATGTGATGATTCCATGACGACGGATTTGAATTTGGGAAAGGGACAGATTTTTACATGTGAGAAAGTACAGAGAAAGAGAATTGAGAGAAAAATTTTGGTCCCCTCATTTGATCTTTTCTTTAATTTCCCTAACCATTTTGTGTGCAATTTGCCCTGAGAAATCAATTTTATTTATAAATTCATACAAGGAATATAGTACACAAAAACATTTGACAACTACTAATAAATAAAGCCTTTTAAACCATCCCAGATTAGATCAACAAAGAAAGGATTAAATTTAAGATAAAATCTTTAACCTAGGGATGTTCCAAGGAGCGGGACTGGGGACCAACGGGAATATTCCTGCAGGGCAGAAGCATGCAGGTGCAACAGTACATAGCTAAGGTTCATCTCCTGAGATTTTTCCCCGAAACTTCATGTGTAAATTTCCAATTACTACCAGCCAAAACCAGTGGGTTTGGTTAGGTAAATTCTAACTGGCAAAACAGATGTGACCTTGAACGCCGTAAAGAAATACCTGTACCATCAGCTAATTGCTCAAGGAAGCAACTGGACAAAGTATAACAAGAGGACAGGAAGGACCACAATATAATCAAAACTAGCACACATGTATCTATGTATGTATGCATTCATGCATATATATATATATATATATATAGAGAGAGAGAGAGAGAGAGAGAGAAGGGGGAGAGAGAGGAGGGATCCATTTACACTAGTGTATATGTAACTTTTACATATTTTTTATCTGTTGGATCAAAATTATTAAATTTAAAAATATTGTTTTGATTCAAATGACTCATAGATTTAATTTTGATCCAAGGATCTAAAAAAATGTAATAGTTACACTAGTATAAATGGATCCGTACTCATATTTATATTTATACATACACATACATATATATATATATATATATAAAAGCAAATTGACCGAAGATTCCAACCATCACAAAAATGTAGCTCTTGCAGTTCAAACTTCAAAACACAGATCAACTTTCATCCATTTGCTGATAGTAATATCTGAGTACTTAAAAAAAAAAAAAATTGGCCTAGATCCAGAAATTAAGCTTGTAATATCTGGCTTAAAACAATAGGGTTGATGAAGAGAGGGGAAAAAGAAAATGAAGGGGCTTAAATCAATTGCATTATATAACATTGACGATGAGAATACAGTATTAGACCAAACAACAAACTTCTCATTTATACAGAATGTCAGTATCACCAGATTCAATCAGGAGAATAGTTCATAGGCACAATAACAAAGTAATACAGCAAACTTGAGTTTGAAGACCTATATACATCAAACTTCCTCCACAAAAGAAAAGGAAAAGGACTTGAGTGCAATGATATGTACTTGATCAGTTTGAAATACGGAAGATATTGCCGCCTGTAAGATGGACCATTCTCTTTGATCATCATTCTACTTGGACTTCATACTTGCAGATGTGTTCTGGTTTAGTAAAGTATATTTATCACCACTGTTCAGTCCGTACTGCAATACAAAATTCAATGGCATGATTTAGGAAGCAACAACTAATATTATACGAAACTTATTGCATATGAAAGATACAAGCGGAAATATAATCCAGCATGAATGAAAAGCATATTTTGAACTTGTTTTCTTCACACAAAATGGGTTGGAACAACAGAAATGCTCAGTATTCTAGTACATAAATGTCCCTCTTTACACAGTCTTAACAAGTAAGAGTATCCTGATTCTTGACAAAACCAAGCTCCAATTACTTATATCAACTAAGATATCTTCAGCAACAACAACAACGGTAATGAGAATCAGAAAAACTGATCTGCCATCTGAGTCACCTTTTTGCGCTAGAAGAAAATAAATAAAACGCAAACTTTAAATTAATTAAACAAGATAACTGCCAGTGCCGGGATAACAACCCCCACCCCCGACAAGATATAAAGGGATGGCAATCATTTATAACTGTCAGAACTGAAATAAAGACAGAGTACATTTTACAAGTTTCAATGATAATAAAACAAAAGCTTGTGAGGCAACAAGATGAAATTATTTAGTTGATCTGTCATTGTGAGTCAGGATCTCTCAATCAGGTCACCATTGTCAGCATATCTGAAAGACAATCGTATTGACAGCTCACAGCTGTGAACTGCATACATATTTAATTTTTTATTTCTGATTCAGATTTCAGAGAGTGTTGCAGTGAGTTGGAACATTAATTTGTCACACTATCACCAAATACTTCAACAGATTCCTACAACCACTGACATAGCATGGCAGTAATGAGATCCACTATGCCATAAATATAACTTCAAGGAACCATTTCCAAAGGCAACGATCATGATTCAACCTAGAATTAGATGTCACATAATGGATTTCACATCATATTGAATAAACTAATAAAACAAAGAGTGAACTGTCCCATATACTAGCATGCCAGCCATCTTTTTCTGCTAAAGATGAGTTTTAACCAATTAAAGTCAGGATACTTTTTCTCTTATTCGTGAGCCCCAGATGTCAGAGTGCGTTCCCTGGTCATCACCCTTGGCTGAAATAGACGTGTGGCTAGACTGAGGTTTTAGGAGTGGCTACCAAGTTCTACCTCTAATACTTTCACAATCATCTTCATTGTCAATGTCTCTTCTTCTAGCAGAAACCATTGCCCGCAAAATTATTGCCACTAACAAAGCTAACACCTGAAAGATTACACGAATAAATCTATTACAGAAATCAGCAGATTTACTGGACATTTAAAAAAGAAAAGAAGAGATCTTATCTTTTATTTGCTAATAGAAAACAAGATTTTTTTTCATCTTGCCATTGAATTTAATTACCATAGATATTAACTAAAAAGTATTTTCATAAAACAAGAAGCTACGCATTTCGCAATTGCCCGAAGAATTCCTTTCCCTCCTCATAATTCAAATTTCATGTAAATGAAATGTATAAATACATTCCAAAGATGGATCCTTATATTTTTAATGAAGGTCGTTCTATGTTTTGTGTCAAATTTAACAGTCAAATACTAAAGAACAAGTGAATTATAATTAAAAAAACACAAAAGTTAGTATATTTTAAGCTACAATGAAGTTATAGATGAGTAAAGGTGATATCTGCTTATCATCCCATATATCATCAGTTGTAACTTTATCATCTCAATAAGGAAAATAGACTAAGTATTTCATCAGGTCGAATAATTAATTTTCCATCCAACTAGTAATATGCTGCAAAGATGTTGTCCTAATTTTCAAATCTTTCCCACAAATATTTGGTAAGATTTGAACCAAAAACTACATCAATCCCAGCCTCCCACCATTTCAACTTACAATTGTCAATATAGCAAACAGCTAACTAAATTACAATATTAATTCATTTTCTGAGATACACATCAACAATCCACCCATCCATCCAATCATGGGTTGAGCAGAAGCCAAGGGTAATATAACCAAGGCACAGTTTAGTGCCGGCATTAAAAAGAACAATTGTGAATCCAAATAAAAAACTTTTCACAATAGAGAAAGTGCAAAACAAGGTCAGAAGATCATTGCATAGTACCATTCTTATAAAATTCATAAATCCTTATGACCGTAAATTGAACTTCAGTAAATCTTCATCTGATGAAGTGCCACAAAATATGTCCTCATTTAGTTACTGCATTTTCTTTTGACTTTCATGTATAATAATTCCAATCAATCGATTTAGTAAGTTATAAACTGCTTGAAAACATGGAACAAAAAATATACCTGAATTATGACCACACTGATGCCAACCCATCTACATATATCGATGTTGTCTTCGACAGAGGATCGGAAGCTATCAAGTTCTCCAGTTGGGTCAAATGGAAGATCCTGTCATAAAATACAGTATTTAGTGGTAGATGATAATCTGCATGTGATCAAAACCATAGCATCTCTAGTGGACCAAGAAAAGAATATACCTTCTCCCACCTACGGTCAATTGCAATAAATGCCACCAAAGCAGCTTCTATTAAAATGAGAACAATTTTGAGAATGGTATACTGTTAGTTCGATTGAGTTAAGGAAAAAGATGTCACAGAATGCAGTCAATTGGATAACTGGCAAAACAGAAATAACTTCAACACGTTAATGCTTATAATAAATCACCAAGTACATTTTGGCAAAAAAAAATCACTAAGCACTTAGTTTCGTGAGACACTTAACAGTGAAAAAATAGAAGATGAAATTCTGAATTTTGTGGTTAAAGTTTTGATCCTATTTTAGCACTTCATCTACTCCTGCTACTGCCACTTCTTGGTAGATAAAGCATATGTAAAGTTTATAAACTTAAAACTTCAATATATAGAAAACCATTGTCTGAAATTAGCTATTTTCATAAAAACCTGTGCTAGTCTCTACTGTAGACATGTTCAGAATTCCTGCAGCAAAATCTCTAAGCCAACTTCATTTGAAAAGAATATACAAAGACTCATCTAGGTAGGATACGAAACAAAGACAGCAGCCATTAATAGATTCAGCTGCTATGCAACCAATGAGAGTAATGCAACATAGCACAATACCCACTCCCATAAAAGAGTATATGAACCTGAAACAAAGAAGAAAAGCATAGAGTTAGCACTCATTCGAGCATTTCCAATCCAAAACATCCAACCACAATCACCACCAAAAGCAAACTTTGTATCGCCGATCATGTGAAATAACGAATTGAAAGAGACACAACCCAAGTAGCAACCAGACACAACCAAGTTCTAAATGGTAATAGCAGTAAATTAGAACATCTAATGCAATAGTCACAAAAAAACCCGTTCCCAAACATTTAAAGTTTCGTCCTTTTTTTAAAAAAAATTGATATAGCATTTAATGCAGTGTCCACTTCAAAATCCCTTAAAAGCAATCAATTATAAAACGATATAAAAGACTGAATAGATTAAGTACCAGGGAGCAGGCAGCTTAACGGTGCTCAAGTCAAACCCGACCCCATTATCCAACCCGGAGACCAAACCGACAGCGAAATCGTCGAAAACCCTAGCTGCTTGAGCTCCAATCTCCGGTCTCGAATTGAAGAGGACCGAAAAAGAAGACTCTGGCGAAGGCGCTGAAGGAGGCGGAGAAATGGGAACGTGATGGTTCCACCGATCCAACATCCATATCGAATACAGAATAATCGATACTCCAACGAAAGCTTGGAGAAAATTCAAGAACTTCAGAACAAAAGCAAACGAAACATGGCAGCAATTCGGCCGCATTCCCTAAGATTTCAATCGACTTTGACTTCCTTTTTCGTTAAAAAAACCCTAATTTCGATGATGATTTTGGGAGGGGGATGAAGTCGAAACCCGAACAGCCTTTTCTTAGCGTTTTTGGCTTTCAAAAGTTTCCTGTTTTGTTGAGTTCCAGAAGAGATGAAACGGTTACGGTTAACGGTTAGTCGTTAGGACACGTTGGACTTTTTACAGTTCTCTGGGTTGGGCTAAGCTCTTTGGACAAGTCCAGATAAAAGGGCTTGGAAGTTGTCCAAATAAAAAATTATTTAAAAATATATTTTAGGTGGTGTTTGTGAAATTTTTTTTAAAAATGAACAAATAAAAATAAAAATTGAAAGATTTCGGATCAAACATCAAATTTTAAAAAAATTTGAAAAAATTTTGATATATTTATTTAATAGATATTTTTAATAAAAATATTAATAAAATTTTTATTATTAAATAAATATCGATCAAATTTAAATTATAAATATTTTTTTTATAATATTTTTTATATATTATTAATTTTTAAATTAAATTTTATTAATATATAGATTCGAATTTTTTATTAAAATTTTTATTTAATCATTTTTAATTAAAAAATTTTACAAATTTTTCATATAAAACTTCATTAAAATTTTATCCCATTATAAATGAGTTTTTACTGTCGAATTATTCTAAGTTTCAGAAGATTTCATTTGCTCTACATGTTCAGACATTTTAAATGCCAATCATTCTAACATGTCATGATTCTGTATGGCACATTGCATTTATCAGACAGGAGGTTAAAATTTCTTCTGTCAGGTGGTTATGATTGCCATTACAACTTCCTTGGTTTTACAGGATTAGTCGACAGATCGTTCTCCCTGACCAAGCTATCCATGCACCCGACAGAAAAGCAGATGATGGCTGGCTAACGTTATTGCATCCTATGCTAGGGCCGCAAGCAATAGAGATGAATTGATGGCTAACCAGAAGAATGAAACAGAAAGCAGAGAACTCCGAGCCAATAGCCATGTAATTTATTATTAGAGCATTGAATTTTTAATTTCAGTAATTATGATTTAAATTTTGATATTTTTAAATATAAAAAAGTACAAAATTTATAATTTTATTCAAATAATTTATATAATTACTTTAAAGAAACAACATTTAACATGTTCGTAATTTAAATTTTTATCACTTCAGCTTCTTTTGTATAAAAAGTAAAGCAAAATATGTATGGCACTATACACAAAAAGTTTTGATATGGGTAAGGCTAAAGCAGTCCATCCCCTTTTACTTTCTAGCTTTCAAAGTAAGACCTGGTTTCCCTTTTGCTCAAATGGACCCCAATGTTTGTGATATGGCTACAAAGTAAAGTATCTTAAAAAGAAGAAAATCAGAAGATAAATAAGTTATTTAATTTTTTAAATTAAAATAAAATATATCATATTTAATAATTTAATACATATAATTATGAGTTTTACATTTAAAATAATCTTAACAAACGATCGTTAATAATATTCAAATTTAAAATTTTTTTTATTAAAAAATTTTTTAATCAGTTAAATTAATTACTTGTTAGTACAAAGGAAAGTATTTACCTCCCTGATTATGGCGATGAAAAGGGGATGGAGACGTCCCATCTTTGAGGGGCTACTGCCAATGCTAACGTCTCAACCGAGATCGTTATTTGAGCAAGAATGATATTATCTCATGCACTAGTAGTTTTCACGTACTCATTACTCCATCCTACGGCTCATTACATCTCAAACAAAAATTCAATATTTTATCAATAAATTAATTAATAACTGTTAACGTATTTTATCAACGAATTATATGGTTTTTGATGTCAAATAACTTATTTTATTAGTTAATCTACTCAAACTCCCAAATGATGAGCCAACCTGTAAATGATTGAACCAGTTAGGAATTAATAACATACATGTTTAGCAATATTGAAATGATTAATTTGTAAATTATTAAGGTTGATCCGAACATGAAAGTGGGAAGCAGACAAAAAACTTTGGGAATCAATTTCTTCGAGTTTTATGTCCAAAAAGGGGTTGTTGGGTTGGCTTTATCGAGAAGTTAGGCTTTTGTTGTTTACACTTTCGCCAATCAAATCATCGCCTGGTTTGAAACATAATTCTTTTCTAAAACTCCATTAACTATATATATATATATATAATTAGTATGATGAACTTTGAATGACCCGTGAACAAACAATTTGTTATTGATTTCTGGTAAAGCTCATCATCAGCTGTTATCTGATTTCAAAGGCTATTCCATCATACTTATCTATGGTACCCTGGAATTATTGTTTGTTTCTAGCCCTTGAAATCTGGTTAACTCGGTGGCACAGTTACATCTGTTAGGGGTTGGGTTATTAGGTTTGATATGATTTGGATTGAGATTGATTGAAATACCTCTAGGTGCAACCAAACCCTCCTCTCATTAGACTATAGATTAAAAGGGAAAAAGAAGAATAATTAACCCAATGAAAATACCATAAAGATCAAGGCATTTAGCTAATAATTGATCAAAATCAACTTCCTAGTTAGTACAAAACCTGTTCATTGTTAAGCTTTGTTCTAATTTTGAATGCTTAACTTGATCTGAGTTATAAGCTTAGTCTTGTCCAAAAAAAAAGAAGAGTTTAGATATTTTAGGTCATGTTTGGTGTACAAGATAATTAATAAAATAATATGATAATTATTTTATATTATATTTTATTTATATCTAAAAAATGGATAAGATCATAAGAAGAATTATCATTTTCTTAGTATTAGATTATTTAATCCTCTCATAATGAATATGATTATTTTTAATTTATGAGACTGAATTTATATATTTTATTATATCTTGAAAAATTACACAAATAATTTAAATTATATAAATTTTGAAGAAGAATAATTTTGATAAATAAATAAATTATTGTATTATAATTTCTACACACGTCAAATATAAGATATGATAACACTATTTAATTTAATCTTATTTATAATATTATCTTATCTTATCTCATTATAATCTTATATGTCAAATATGACGTTAATAGATAATGTTTATTATTGATTAGGTCAATTTGAAAAGACTATATTAGAGCTATAGATTATATAATGCTTTCAAGTGAAGCAAATGAAGAATTTTAGCATTTTCTAAATGATTGGGTTATATGAACATTGTAGCAAAATATCATCTCATTTGTGTTTGTTAAGTAAAAGGTGAATAAGAATTTCGGATATTATTAACTTGCATTGATAGAATTCTAAGCTAAAATAAATGAAGAAAAAGAAATCAATGTCCCATTCTTTTTACATTGTGTTCTTCAATGTGAAAAGTTAAGTAAGAGGTTGGAGTGAGTTTTATTCATATTGAGATTGAAATATATATTATACCTATCTCATAATAATTTTGGATTTTTCTAAAGATAATAAAAACTATATATAATTTTTTAATAAATAAGCCTTTTTATATAATAGGAATATGAGAAAAAATCGTAAGTGTTGAAATTTAAATCTCATATTACTTAAATGTCACATTTTAAAAATTATCATATGAATTAACTGAATTAAGTAATAAATTAAGTCTTATTTTTTTATTTGCTTTTTATGATTAACTTTTTGTATTTTCCTTCAAAACTCAAATGTGGTGGGCTTTTTCATAATTGGTCATATTTTATATTCCTGTTTTATATTTTGATTGCTCTTAACTATTTTGAAGAGCTGGTGAGATTTTTTTATTTATTTACATTTAGGTCTTCTTTAATACTCATATGAATTTGTATTAGTTATTTGAATATTGTCTTTGTTAGTCGGACTAACTTTATAATTTTATATGATTATAAAGTTAGTTTGGACTAATTTTGTTAGTCTGAATTTAAATATGATTTGTTTTTAATTTCCAAAGAAAAAGACCTCAAAAGGAAAAGCATTTGTTTTTTTTTCAACTTTACCTCAAGTGCATGACCATTAAATATACAAGAAAATTATGTGATAAGCCTATGTTGCACTTAATGAAATAAAAAAAGGGGAGAGCAATTAAATTTCTAATCTAATGGCATTGCAGGAGGAAACTTTAAGTTTCATATAATTTGACTTAGTATTTTTAAGAAAATTTATTTAATAGATTGATAGTAAAATTTTTTATTTTCGATTAAAATGATGACACATATCTTTCAATAAATATTTAAAAAATAAAAAATTAATTTAAAAAAATAAAAAATGTGTGTATCAAATAATTTATCGATAAAGATTTGTTATATGTTCAAAGTTTTAATATCTATTATTAATATAAATGATTTATGTAATTATAAAAAAATGATATTCAATAAATTTAAAATTTAATATTTATTTTGTAGTTTGTAGGATACAACTTTATATATATTAAAAAAATATGTATGAAGTAATTATTATTTATCTCATTTTTCTTTAATATTATATGCACAAGATTATACGTATATATACACCAATATAAAAAATATATATTTATAATTTTTTAGAATAAACGTTGGATCAATAATTGAGATGGATATAACAAAATTTATTGAGATCTAAACTTTTCACCATTAATTTAATATTATATATTTTCCTTTTAATATTCTTTACAAAAAACCGTTTTTTCCTTTCACCTATCTTAGAAAAGAAAAAAAGGAAAAATCGAAACGTTTAGGTTAAAAACTCAAAATCCTAAAGATCCGATGAGCAGAGTAAAGTAGAGGGCACAGCGCAAAAGAAAGGCCATAGTGGCAAAACTCGTAAATTAAGCCGAAACGGGTGGGTAATTTCCTAACCACACACACTTTAGTCAAGTTCTTCGTTAATCTCAGTCCACTTTATTCTCTATCCTTTTCTCTCCGACTCTTCACCTTTCATACGCTAAAGAAAAAAAAAAAAAAGCAAATAAGCGGTAATTCTCCGCCAAATCCCTCTTCTCCAACGACAACCATTTTCCTTCCCTTTAATTTAGTCCCTCTACTCTCTCGCCAAAGACATTTCCACATTTTCGTTTTTATTATTTTCTTAATTTTTTTTTGAATTATTGGAATTGGTTGAGCGATTGTTCAGATCTGAGTGCAGTCGGACCGGATCTGGATCCAGATGGAGGAGGCATTGGAGCTGGCACGTGCCAAAGACACCAAGGAGCGAATGGCGGCGGTGGAACGGCTCTATCAACTCCTTGAAGGTTCTAGAAAGAGTCTCACTTCTTCGGAAGTCACTTCGCTTGTTGACTGCTGCTTGGATCTCCTCAAGGACAACAACTTCAGAGTCTCCCAGGGTGCTCTCCAGGCTCTTGCTTCTGCCGCCGTCCTCTCCGGTGATCACTTGAAGTTGCACTTCAACGCGCTCGTTCCCGCGGTTGTTGAACGGTTAGGTGACCCCAAACAACCCGTTAGAGACGCCGCCAGACGCCTATTGCTCACTCTCATGGAGGTAAAGTTATTATTTATTTCTTTTTATGTTATTGAATGTCTACCGCTCCTATAATTCCTTTTCCTTCTTAAAACTGCTGAAAGCACTCTATCTTTAAGATTTGTGTTAGCACTGATTTTAGTTGTGATTTTGAATGGAAACGATATGATGTGCAATTGGATTTAGGGTTTTACATAGATTTAGTGGAATTAAAGACATTGACAGTACCGTGTAGTTAAATAAATCTGACTGCTCTTAAGGTTTAGTAATGTGCCCAGAATCTAATTTGTTAGAAGGAGATTGTTCTTGGAAGGCTACTTTTAAGTACAACCCTTTTTGTTTCCATTTTCTTTATAATTTTATGGTTTTCTATTATTTGTAGCTTTGTTGTCCTTTAGGTGGTAAGTGTTTTTAGAGCAATATTTTGATAGATTTAACTGAGTTTTGTGTCTACGGGAGACTTTAGGTAATGTTTGGATAAATATTTATAAAGGAAAGGAAAGGAAAGGAAATAATATATGTACCCTTTGTTTGGATAATTAAAATTAATAAAGGAAAAGAAAGAAAAAGAATTCTAACACCCATTGTTTGGATAAAGAGTGAAAAAGAAAGGAAATGATTTATTATACTAATTTTTTCCAATTATAACCTTTCATTACTTGTGATTTTAGAGCATTCTTGGACTATGATATGCTTGCTATCTTGTATGGCCTCACAATTGCTGCTATATCAGTGGTTTTTAATCAAATGAAACAAAACGATGTTTTACAAACATGTATTGATGGATTTTTTGGCCATTGCCAAAATTTCAGCACACTGTAACTTTAGCGATGTATTCATATAAAAGCAATTAAATATAAAAAAATGCAATCACATAAAAACCATTACATCTCATAAACTCAAAAAATATCTATTCATATTCAATCATTCATCAAAATCAAATCACAAAAAAATTATAAACAATTTTTATATTGGAAGAGAATGTGAAACTTACTTGAAAAAAGAGATGACTTTGAAAAAAAATTACAGGAAGATTGTGATGTGGTTAGGTTTTTTTGACTAAGTTTTTAATATTAGTAAAAGGATGGATATAATAGTTTTTTATAAAAATGAAAATTTTCAACTTTCCTTTCTTTAGCACTTCGCCCAAATTGGGGTATTAAAAAAGTGAGGATTAGAAGGGAAACCAAAGGTTATTGAGTTTTCACCTCTTTCCTTTCCTTTAAATTAAAAGTTTATTCAAATAAAGGAAGGGTTTTCTGTTTCCATTACTTTACTTTATTTCCCTTTCCTTTCCTTCTCTTCCCCTCAATCCAAACATAGTGTTAGTCAGTGTGTATTATAGAAGTTTAGTATTTCAGATTGTTCTGTTAATGGATATATAAAGTTTCTTAGCATTGGATGACTCAAGGGTTTCCTAATTGTTTTACTTAAAGTACTTCATCATTTATTGTTATTGCAATTTCTTGGAAAATGGAATCTTGATTCCTTCCTTATTCTATTTCTTTTTAAAGTTATCCAGTTTTGTAGAAGATTTTCCTGAAAAGTGGCACTCAAGAATGGTCACTAGTGAATGCTTTTGCGCAATTGAATAATTACCATCCTTAATTACCTTTGGATGGTTTTCATGTTTCTTTTTTTTGGATAAATATTTATTATCCAAGAAGCCGTAATTACTGCTACAAGCAACAAGTACAACAATTTCTCACTTTCTTTACAGCCATATATCTACCTAATTTCCTATTGTCTCACTTACTGTACAAAATATCTCAACTTAATTTCCATCATTCTCTCAAACTTTGGTTTATTTGATCGTTATCTATATTGCTTATTCCTGCTAATCTTAACTTCACTACATCTCTTATCTGCTGCACTATCTACTCTTCTGCCATTACCTCAGAATTGTAGAGCCTCCTATGCCTTTCCGCCCAGATCATATATATGTAGGCTCCCCAAGCCAGTCTCAATAGTACAAAAACAAATGCCTTTCCTTTCAGCCATCGTATTGCCCACTGAAACTCCTCCCATCCTGTCACCTCCCTCTGCAAGTTATGAAGTTGTAGAATTTGTTTCCAAATTTCCTTTGAAAATGTGCTACTAAAGAAAATATGATTCCTGCTCTGCCTTTCCCATTTACAGAGCACACAGCCTTCATCCACAGATATCCCCCATGATAGCAGCCTATCCTTTGTAGGAAGTCTGTTAAGAGCAGCCACCCAAGCAACCGTAGCATGTTTAGGAATATGGAGTTTGCACCAGATGAGCCTATGCCAATCCACCTTCTGCTGTCTTTGTCTCAGTACCTCCCAGACACTGATTGTGGAGTAACTTGTGCCTATAGTGTTCCATGCAACTCCATCCCCTGTCTGCATTAAGAATCTGGGAGCCTCAATTTTAGCAGTTTCTTCGTGGCCCAGCTATTTATTGCTATGCTAGGAATCTCCCATAAACTACGTCCTTTGAGCACATAGCACTGTATCCATGCTATCCACAGTGATCTGGCTTGTGTCTAGGTTGACCAGTGTAGCCTAATGACACAAGCTTGATTCCAGACTTCTGTATCCTTAACTCCAAGTCTTCACTCAGACTTTGGCTTTCATGTTTCTTGGGGGACCAGTCATTCCATTTTTATTGCCTGCTGGGTTAGGTTTTTTTAATGACTTTTGTTTCCGTAAGAAAATTGAACTAGATTATTATTATTGCTATTATATTTTGTAATAAATATGAGTGTGTGTGCCTTGCTGAGTTTCTGAAACCCTTTACTATTTTAGGCTAAGTGGTTAAGAGTTAGTTTGACTTGTAAAATGTACTTATTATTTTGTGTTTTAGGTTTCTTCTCCAACAATTATTGTTGAAAGGGCTGGCTCTTATGCCTGGATGCATAGAAATTGGAGGGTTCGGGAGGAATTTGCTCGGACCGTCACAACGGCAATCAGTCTTTTCGCATCTACTGAACTTCCTCTTCAACGGGCTATCCTTCCACCTGTATGCTCATTAACATTTCCAGAATGGTTTTTTTGTTGTCTCATCATTAATTGTGACAGAGATAAGTTGACATTTATAAATTTCTTTATTTGTCAGATTTTGCAGATGTTGAGTGACTCAAATCCTGGTGTTCGTGAAGGAGCTATATTGTGCATTGAGGTTAGTGGAACTTCTTTCTCTAGTGTTATTGTTAGAAGAGTTTATCAACTTTTGAACTTGTGTAGGAAGAATTTGATAATCTTTACTTAAAATCAAATCTGATCTGTTGTCTTCTTGTTCTTGTTTTGGTTGTAATCAAATTTCTGACCATGTTTTCAAGGAACTTTCACTTTTACCTGAATATTCAGCTAATAGACTGATAGTTGGGCTTACTGCAGAGGCAAATCTTCTGCTTTCTCCTTGCAATAAACCTTTTACATGCCCTTAAGTGGACAGAGAAAATGAATAGGCACAAACATCAGGGATCTGAACCTTTTTATTACCCATGAAAACATAAAAAACTTAAGTTGGTCAAGACTCTTTTTTGTAGGAAAAAGAAAACTAGCAATAAGTTGCTTGACACCTTGCTTTGGCCTAGGACTAATATGTCTAAAACATATTGTAAAATGTCATTTGGTGTCAGTAGCCATTGCCCACAATATTCCGAGCTTTGTGGTAGATATTTTTAACATTTAAACAAAGAAAAATACTTGTGACAAGTTTTGGATCTCCACTTTTTTTTTTTTTTGAAGTTCCGCCATAACTATCCTGTTCATGAATTCAGCAAGCTTTGGTATTGGATGTTATGTGTTGTCTGTTCCTTGGGTTAGTATTCACGTGAATTGTTTATGACAATGTCGTGCTTCTTTTGATGAATGTAGGACCTTAATAGTTTTGATCTCTTGTGGAAGAGCCCTTCAAAAATTATTCATTGGGTTGACTTTCTTTTTCTTCTTTGGTATTTATGCTTTGGATGGTTTGATGAGTGTTGCAGTAACTCAAAGAGTAATTCTTTGCTAATAGGTCGACTTCTGCCATTCTTCTTGTTGAGAAATTGCTCTTAGAAATTTCTGGGGTCATACATTAAGGTTTGTCATATCTGGTGACAGAATTCTGATCAAATCATTTCTTTTCCAGGAAATGTATACGCAGGCTGGAACTCAATTTCGTGATGAACTTCATCGCCATCAGCTGCCTGCTTCTATGGTGAATATTTAATTTTAAAATAATATATTTCATCCCCTAGCTTCGTATTGAATATCTTTTGTATTTGCAGATGAATAATATTCTCTTTTTTTTTTTTCCTGACTTTGCATTGAGAGTTAATTTTCTCCTCCCTTATTATTCCTTTTAAGTCTACTTTTAATGTAGTATTGTAAATGATAACTTTTAGATAATTTAATGTTGATCACATTTTCTTCTAGAAGAAAGGTATTGTTGTTATTTCTCTGTTATTTTTACAGCAGAGTGTATAACTGCAGGTGAGAGATATTAATGCTAGACTAGAGAAAATTGAGCCACAAGTTAGATCTTCAGATGGAACTTTGGGTGGTTTTGCTGCTGGAGAAATAAAACCTGCAATCCTTAAGCCCAAGAAAAGCAGTCCAAGAGCCAAGAGTTCTTCAAGGGAGACATCTCTCTTTGGAGGTTTGGATCTGTATATATCAAACAAATTTTTTAATTAGGAATTTAGGATGGTTTTCATGATATGCTGACCTTTGCATAAACGAACTTCTTCAAATATTGGCTACTTTTCTTTTGACGTTGATGGTTAAAAGAAGTTGATGTTTTCTATATTATATATTTCTCAAAAATGGTGTCTGCTTTTATATTATGGTTCAAAGACTTAAATGTTACCGAAGTGATTATTATTTTATCTTCTTTCAGGTGAAAGTGATATCACAGAAAAACCTATAGATCCAATTAAAGTTTACTCAGATAAGGAGCTGATAAGGGAATTTGAGAAAATTGCTTCTACTCTTGTGCCAGAAAAAGATTGGTCCATACGCATTGCTGCCATGCAGAGAGTTGAAGGCCTTGTTTCTGGAGGTTTTTATTCCCTCTCTCATCAACCTCCCACCGACTTGCTTTGGCACATGTGTCTATGCTGTCAAAGAATTATAGAGTTACTATTGTTAGCTGAACGGTTATGAAATGATTCTGCCTTTTGTGTTGAAAGAAAATTCTTAGTTTTGAAGAACTGGCCAATGCAAACTGAGCTATATATATAAATTCTTAGGCAGATAATGGGATGTCAAAACCCAGGCATTCAAATTCTTGGGTTATTGCTGTTGTTTAACCTATTCCCCCTTGTTTTGACTTCTCCAAAGTTGTCCTGTTATTTACCCCTTGTTTTCTATAAGGAATTCATTTATATATGGCATATTCCTCCTCTATGGTTTGAGTTGAGAGCTGGGGGTTTTAAAAATTAAGACTAATGTGAATATATACACAGGTGCTGCTGATTATCCATGTTTCAGGGGACTCTTGAAGCAGCTTGTTGGCCCACTAAGTACACAATTATCAGATAGAAGGTCAAGCATTGTGAAACAGGTGTGTACAATTTTTATTGTGTCTCCTGGTACTGGTTTTTTCTTTTTACACTTTGTTTTTACTATTTTAGGAGATTTCTTCCTTATGTTTATACTTTATTTATGGGTTCTGAATGAAGAGTGCTTCTTCTAGCATGAGAGTAAGGTTTTCTTTATCTTGAATTTTTGTGCCAAATACTTTTTTATATCATTTTTCTAAATATTTCCTTTTATGTTGAGTTTACTGCTGAAATTTGTTTAGAATGGTTTAGTGAATTTAAATTTTCAATTACTGAAATTTTCATTCATTTTTTTTTTTTTTTTTTTGAGTTTGCCAAGTATTGTTATTTGTTTAGAACATATTCATATATTAAAAAATACTTAAGGTTCATAATAGGAAACATGTCATGGACCCATCATCATACCTGTCCTTCCCATATTGACTCTCTTGAAGCCTCCAAGAAGGGTGTTTTAGGCTAGTACACTTGGGAGGGGATGATATAAGCTGAAAAATTCGACTTGAGTAGTGGTCACAATTACAGGGTTTATATAATAGTAAAGACTATATAGATTGCAATTGTTGTTGCTTTATTTTAGTTGCTAGAATTCTTATATGCCTCTTGCTTTGTAGATACAATTCTATTATTTTTACCATGAAGCTTGTGTGTCTCTTCTTTCTCTTATGGTGGTTTTAACATTCTTTCACTTGAGTAGAGACCTAGCCACACTGGTGAGATTCCAAGTTTGTGCATAGCGTTTTAACTTCTTGTCTCTAACACTTTTCTATCTTTAAGTGCTTTTACTTTTCTATCTTTAAGTGGTGGTTGGGTTGAAGACACTTGTTTACTTTTCTATCTTTAAGTGTTTTTCTGGCTTTGTACGTATAGCTGTTCCTTAGTTTGTTTCCTTTTTTTCAGGCTTGCCATTTATTGTCCTTTTTATCAAAGGAGCTCTTGGGAGATTTTGAGGCATGTGCTGAGATGTTCATCCTGGTAAGTTCAACTTTGTTGTGTAGTGTAACAACATTCGTATTCTCATATGCACTTGTTAATTTCATATTATGATCAGGTCCTTTTCAAGTTGGTTGTGATTACTGTGCTTGTAATAGCAGAGTCTGCAGATAACTGCATAAAAACGGTAATATTTTCCTTTATGTCCCCTTCCCTTTTTTTCCTCTAGTTTTTGATTTTTCTGTTTTTGATATTTATCTTTTATAATTTGCAGATGTTGCGTAACTGCAAAGTGTCCCGTGTGCTTCCTCGCATAGCTGATTGTGCAAAGAATGACCGTAGTGCTGTACTCCGTGCCAGGTATTCCTATGTTTCTGCTATTTAATGATGAAGTCTTTTATTTGTTATTTATCTTCTCCCTTTTATTCTCCTTACTGCAGATGTTGTGAATATGCATTGTTGATACTTGAACATTGGCCAGATGCCCCAGAAATACAACGATCAGCTGATTTATATGAGGATCTGATTAGGTGTTGCGTTGCCGATGCAATGAGTGAGGTATCTATGTTGGCAATTACTTCTATTATTTGATGTTTGGTGTACATGGTCATGCATTCAACCCTTCATGTGAAGGTCTGAGTTGATCATTTTGGTAGGTTCCTCTCGTGGAAACATGATTGGTTCATGGCTTATGCTTCACTTGACATCTTTTAATGAACTTTTATATATTTTTTTCATAAATAGGTGATTTGAAAAGATGACCTTCTGTGGCAACGCCAAGTCCTAAAACTTAGGGTGTGTTTGATAAATCATTGAGAATTAAAATTTTCTGTGGTTTTCTTTTTTCAATGAGTTTGATAAATCATCTTTAGAAACCTCTTAATGGAAGATATTCAATGAAAAAGTGTTGAAAATGAAGTAGCTTTTAGTTACTTAATGTATTAAGTCACTTTTGTTTAAGGAAAAAATTAGTTAATTACATTAATATTATATTATTTCATTTTAACTATTTATTCTTTTTAACTTTTACGAATTGAAAATAATTATAAAATTGTATCTCTCGTCTATAAAAGATTAAAAAAAATTTACTTAACATTTAATTTTTTAGTAGCTTACCAAACTACTTTTATATCATAAATTCAGTACTTAAAATATTTCAGAACTAAAAATTTAGTGGGTAATTTTTCACTGTTGAATTTGTTCACTTTATCAAACAGCATCTTAATGTTATTTGCCTTTTTCTTATACCTGTTTGAGCCCATGATTACTAGTGAATTGAAAACTTAACAGGTACGATCAACTGCTAGAATGTGCTACAGAATGTTCACCAAAACTTGGCCAGACCGTTCTCGTCGATTGTTCTTGTCTTTTGATCCTGTCATTCAAAGGGTATATAGCTTCACTATATGATATATATTTTGGAATAATTCCATTTGTAGGTTGTGGTCTCAAGTCTTGCTTTTTGCACAGATAATTAATGAAGAAGATGGAGGGATGCATAGGCGACATGCTTCTCCTTCTGTTCGTGAAAGAAATGTGCAGATGTCATATACCTCTCAAACTTCCACTACTTCAAGTCTACCTGGATATGGAACGTCTGCAATAGTTGCAATGGACAGAACTTCAAGTTTATCCGCTGGAATGTCTGTCCCTTCTGGGTTGAATCTATCCCAAATGAAGCCCCTCGGTAAAGGTGCTGAACGTACTCTAGAGAGTATGTTGCATGCAAGCAAACAGAAAGTCAGTGCCATTGAAAGTATGCTTAGAGGCCTTGACTTATCTGAAAAACAGAGGTCAACAAGTTTGGATCTAGGTATTGAATGGATTTCTATGTTTTTCGTAATTTAAACTTGAAAGTTTCATACATGAGGTCATTCATTTATGCAGTGATAATTGCCTGAAATGATCTGAAATTCGATTCAATTGTGAGCGGCTAAATTTCTCTTTTATTGCCCACTAGTGCAGGAGTTGACCCTCCATCAGCTCGTGATCCACCATTCCCTGCTGCTGTTCCAGCTTCTAATAGTCTCACGAGCTCTTTAGGCATAGAATCAACTACCTCTAGCATCGGTAAAGGTAGTAACCGCAATGGTGGTCTGATTATGTCTGACATCATTACTCAAATTCAAGCTTCCAAAGATTCAGGCAAGTTATCATATAGAAGTAGTGTGGCAACAGAGTCTATGCCAACTTTCTCATCATACTCTGCCAAGAGGGCATTTGAAAGACAAGAACGAGGTTCACTTGAAGAGAACAGTGATATTAGGGAGGCCAGGCGGTTTATAAATCCACGTATTGACAGGCAATATTTGGACACACCTTATAGAGATTTAAACTCTAGGGATTCACAGAGCAATTATATACCAAACTTCCAGAGGCCACTTTCGAGAAAGCATGTAGCTGGGCGGATTTCTGCTGGAAGGAGAAAGAGTTTTGATGATAGCCAGCTGTCACTTGGAGAGATGTCTAATTATGTTGAAGGTCCAGCTTCTCTAAGTGATGCCCTAAGTGAGGGCCTCAGTCCCAGTTCTGATTGGTGTGCCAGGGTTGCTGCTTTTACTTATCTCCGGTCTTTGTTGCAGCAGGGCCCTAAGGGTATTCAGGAAGTGGTTCAAAATTTCGAGAAGGTAATGAAACTGTTTTTCCAGCACTTGGATGACCCCCACCATAAAGTTGCACAAGCTGCCCTTTCAACACTTGCAGATATTATCACATCATGCCGAAAGCACTTTGAGACTTACATGGAAAGGATCTTACCCCATGTTTTCTCCCGATTAATTGATCCAAAGGAGTTGGTTAGGCAACCTTGCTCAACAACTTTGGAAATTGTTAGCAAAACTTATAGTATAGATTCTCTCTTACCTGCTTTGCTTCGTTCACTAGATGAACAGCGGTCACCAAAGGCAAAACTGGCTGTTATTGAGTTCGCTATTGGTTCCTTCAACAAGCATGCTATGAATACCGAAGGTTCTAGTAATATTGGCATCCTGAAGTTATGGCTGGCTAAATTGACGCCTTTGGTCCATGATAAAAATACGAAGCTTAAGGATGCAGCTGTTACTTGCATTATATCTGTTTACTCACATTTTGATCCGACTGCTGTTCTAAATTTTATTCTTAGTTTATCAGTTGAAGAACAAAATTCCTTGAGACGAGCACTGAAACAGTACACTCCTCGTATTGAGGTGGATCTAATAAACTATTTGCAGAACAAGAAAGAGAGACAGCATTTGAAGTCATCCTATGATCCATCTGATGTTGTTGGAACATCGTCTGAAGAAGGATATATTGGTGTGTCTAAGAAGAGTCTTTTACTTGGAAAATATTCTGCTGGTTCCATGGATAGTGAAGGTGGTAGGAAGTGGGGTTCCACCCAGGAATCAACCCTGATAACTGGCAGTATTGGCCAGGCAACATCTGATGAAACTCAGGAGAACTTATTTCAGAACTTTGAAACCAGTTTAAATGCAGATGGTCTTCCTTCCAAAACCAAAGAATTGTCTTATATGGTTAATTCTATTGGTAAGAACTTGGGATCTCGAACTGGCGAGGTAGAGAACTTGGAAAATAGTGTTAACTTGGAAGGTCTATCTACTCCACATCTGGAAATTAATGGTCTGAGTAGATCTGGCTCTTTGGAGGCCATTGAAGGGAATAATGAGACTTCATCAGAGTTGGATCTTAATCATCTTAAACATGCAGATGTAAAGATTAGCTCTGTGCCAGACACGGGGCCTAGCATTCCTCAAATTCTTCACCTGGTGAGTTTAGTATTATCCTTGTTATTTATGGTCATGATAATTGTTTTATCAATTGAGTTTATTTGGAGAAAATAGATTGTTGGACTTCTCATAGTGCATATGGTGTTTCAAGAAGTTCGTATTTGATAAATAGGCTTTCTTTTGTGTTTCCTAGATCTGCAATGGGAATGATGAGAGCCCTATTGCAAGTAAGCACATTGCACTTCAGCAATTAATTGAAATTTCTGTGGCTAATGATCTCTCCATCTGGACCAAGGTATATTAGTTTCTGTATAAGTTTTATATAAGTTAGATTTTAATTTGATTTCTTCTGTTGAAAGTTTCTTAACCTTGCGTTGCTGTTAAGAAAGAATATACCCTCTACCCTCTGTCAAATATTGTTATGCTATATTTGATTCACATGTTGTAATATTTATTGTATTTATGCAGTACTTCAATCAGATTTTGACAGCTGTACTTGAAGTTTTAGATGATTCTGATTCCTCAATCCGAGAACTTGCCCTGTCATTGATACTGGAAATGCTAAAAAACCAGGTTTGCTCATATTCTCAGTATATAATTATTTTGAGATATTGTCTGAGTTTTCCTTCTCTCTAACATGCAAGTGTGCATGGTTCTTCCTTTTTTTTTGGCTTGTCATGCTTCCAGAAAGATGCTATGGAAGATTCCGTTGAAATAGTAATTGAGAAGCTGCTTCATGTAATGAAGGATATTGTTCCAAAAGTAATTTACTTTCCTTAAACTTGTCCTCTGAGAACATTCTTGTTCCTATATCCATCTCAATTTGTCTGCTCCTTGTTTAGGTTTCAAATGAAGCTGAGCACTGCTTGAACACTGTGTTGTCTCAGTATGATCCTTTCAGATGTTTAAGTGTACGTGGTTCTCTCTTGAATGTCTAACTTGTTTTCCCTACTCCAAATGAGGAGAAAGAGTGTTGTTGCGTTTTACCCTTTGGTTTCGGGTTATTATAAGTACTGACATTGTTAAATGACTGGGGCTGCAGGTTATTGTACCTTTATTGGTTACTGAAGATGAGAAGACTCTAGTTATTTGTATAAACTGTTTAACAAGGGTATTTATTCTGAATCTTAATTGGAGTTAAATTTGTTAAATTAATCCCCCCCCCCCCCACATACACACTATAGTTTCTGTCTGAGATTCTACATTCAAGGACATATGCATGTAGATTTAGTGTTTTCAGTGGTCGTATGGTACTCTGTGCATAAGAACTCTGTCTACCTTGTATGCATGCTCTAAACTGTTAATTATAGTTTACATTGAGGGCATGCATAGTGGGTCCAAAACAATTCTGTGGAACATGGGAAAGAGTCACTGGACTCTAAAGACGAGTATGGCATGGTAAAAGAAAGTAAGTTAAAGGTGCTATGGTTTATCTTAAGCTGTGTTGCTTGAACTTATGTGTGAATGTCATATATGAGAGGGGAAAGAGAGGGGGGTATGGAGGTAAAAGAGACATCTATTTGATTAAGATTAAAGGATGATTGTCTTGTCCAATGGTAATTTTATTATTGTGACCATTGTTTTCCTGTTTATTAGACTAAGGGCTGTGCATGATTGAACAGAGATAGATCTTTATGTACATGTACTTCTTCATTATTTGTTTATTAATCAGGTTAAATGTCCAGCATTTGCTCAGAAATGTTACATGCTTGTATAAAGTTAATTGTATTCTTGGGAGTTGTCATTGCTTTCCTGTCTATTTGGATTAGACTTTTGTTTGGTTTCTTTTGACGGTTTCACTGTTCCTACAAAGAATTGTGCTTTCTAATGTTAAGCTTTGACCATATATTTCTAAGCTCTTTGCCTTTCTTTTCAGCTTGTGGGCCGGCTATCACAGGAGGAACTAATGGCTCAATTGCCCTCATTTTTGCCTGCCCTTTTTGAAGCTTTTGGAAACCAGAGTGCAGATGTTAGAAAGGTAAAACTTATGTTTTTGCATATTTATCTTTCTTGCTTTGAAAATTTGTCATTATACAGTAATGCCTCAAGTTTAGTTTTTATTGGTTGGAGAAAGTAGAAAGAAAGGGTTGGTTGGAGAAAGTAGAAAGAAAGGGATTAAGGGTGGATGGGCTGGGGAAGGGGCAGTTGAGAGAAAGGAGAGAATCTTATCAGCTGTCATCCGGTGGAAGAAAATAATTACTTGTCTTTGTATTACCATTTGTGTTATCTAGCTAGTTGATCTATTATAAGTGATATGGTTGCTGCCTGAGATGTTGCCTTCAAAAAACCTGCAACAAAGATTGAATTTTCTCAGAAAAGACACATCTTTGACAATCAACATGTAGGATGTTTTATGTGTTGATATTTGGGAATACTTAGGGCACTTTTGGGTTCTGGCTCCAGCTGATTGCTGTTTTGCTCAGCTTGGCTCAGTTTTACACAAATTCCAGTACTCTATTTTTATGCTGAGTCATGATTCCCATCCTTGGTATCAGAATAATGTTTTCTTTAATTTTCTATTTGTGGTCCAATAAATACATAAAATTTAAAATGGTTTCTTTAAGATTCATTTTCAACACTGCAAATGTGCTTGGAGAATTATTCTCTAAAGCACATACCCTAGATGTCTTGCCAATGATGTAGTTTTGTTAGCTTTGTCTGAGAAAGGAGGAATGTGCAGTAAATTGCAAATTAATGTTCGACTTCTGGATAATGGTTTATGACATTACATGTGGAAACACTATGTTTCAATGAATTGCATCACAAGTTGGCTCCACCTTATACTATACATAAGATTGAAGGGGTGTCAACCCCTCACCGCTTGCCTTAGAGGCCTGAGTCCCCTCGGCTCCTATTCCATGTTATTGTAGTGTGGCCGGTGCTTGATCTCCATGACTCAAACCAAATCCAATCTCAAAATTCACTTTAGAACTCAAATGAAAGAGCAGGGATCTTGCCCCGAGGTAGAATATATGAATCAGAAAAATATTTGTGTTTCTGTTTGCAAAATCAATATCTTTAGTCGATGATTGTCTTTGTATTTTCACATGTTTTAAATTCTTCTTAGTATATTGTCTTTTTTATTTGCTCTCTTCAAATCTTTACGAGTTCTGATGTCTCATTATGCATTATTGTTGATGGTACAGACTGTCGTTTTCTGTTTGGTGGATATTTATATAATGCTTGGGAAAGCATTTTTGCCACACTTGGAGGGGCTCAACAGCACACAGTTGCGGTTGGTTACAATTTATGCAAATCGGATCTCACAGGCGAGGACTGGCACCCCAATAGATGCTAACCATGATTAGATGGTTCATTTGGACGGGGAGGTCTATTTATTCATTGTTGTGTAGTTTGTATATTGTGTGAATACACTTCGAAGGTGATTTTGTTTTCTTTTTTAAATTTGTTTTAGTTCTCTCTCCTTTGGTTTGCTGGGTTTGGAGGAAGAGTGCTTTTGGTTGAGAATCAAATAGGGAATTGCACTGTTGCACCCACGTTGTAATCACCATTTTCTTCCTAGTATTGTTATATTGATAAAGAAATATGGTTTTGGAGCTGTGCTATATTTTGTTATTTGAAGTTGAGCAAATCACACTGGACAAAAATAATTAAAAAAAAATAAAATTTGGTCAAATCACGTTTGTTACCAGTTCGGCATTCATAATCATATATTATCCTGTCATCATGCATCAGACTCTGAGCTCAGTATGATCTAGTTTTGATTTACGTACTAATCAAGCACAAGAATGAGATGGGTAAAGGTACAAACCTAGTGCGCGTATCATGTGAAAATTTGGTTAATCTTCCTTTACGTTGTTTACTAAATTTTTTTAACCGTTACCATTTACTATTAGCCATAAACGGGGATGATTGTTGTACTGAAACAATCATTAACAATGAATGATGGTGACAGGTTTTGTCGGATGGTGAGCAGGGATTTTTTCACGCTGAAGGAGTTGAAACCCAGGCTGTGGACAATGGAAGGGCATTGCCTCGGGCAAACTTCAATCTCATTCTCATTGTCATATATGCTTCTCCCTATCCAGAATGGCGTCGAGGTACGTATCAATTATATTGTTTGAAATTGATCCTGTTCCATCATCCCTTTTATCTTCGATGTTTTGATGGCAAAATGCTCGGCATCGCTGCTTACTCATGAAAGAGAGAGGCAGGCATTTCTGGCCGCTGGAGCTGATGAGTTCATTCACGAACCCCCCACTCCTGACATTCTTGTTCCTATCCTGAGGGAACTCGATGGGCAGTACGGACGATAGAAGACAGAATCCTGCAGATCAGAGGCCTTCGTCTAGTTGTTGGCTACCAAAAAAAATCTCAAACTTTGATGTTTTGGCTGTTGTCTACCGTTTTTTAATAGCTGTCGGCTGTCGCTATGGCAAAGTACTGTTAATGACACAAACAAGGTTGTCCTGTATTAACCTTCATTTTCCCTCACAAAATGCCTTCAGTACGAATTACTGTTTCTGTTTTCTATGCTTATCTTTATCTAATTGGAGATTTAGCATTTATTTAATGTTCATTTAGAGGTCCAATCATAAATAGCAATGATCTGGCCAAAAAAAAAAAATGATAATAGGCTATACAATTTAAAAAAAAAACTCTAAATTTAATTAGTTTTCATAGACCATAAAAACAAAAAGGAAAAAAATGACCTTTGTTCAAATAGTTTTTTTTTTTTTTTGATAAAATTTTCAAATAGATTAAGGCTCTATTTGGATTTCATTGTGAATTGATCATATTGTTAATTGGATCTGAATCTCAATTCTAGTGAGTTCATTGAATATAAAATTTAAATTTTCATTGAAATTTTTTTTAATTATAATAATAATAATAATTATTATTATTTTTAATTTTATTAAAATTAATTTATCGTTTATTCAAATAAAATTTAAATAATAATCAATTTTCCACCATTCATTTAGGATCTCTTGATCTCGTAAAGGACTAACCTCCCTCGTTTCACTAATTTCATTAATCAGAATTTTAAAGTATCCATTTGTTTTGAAAATATGATATTTCACATGAAAGCTATGAATTTTTCTTATAGTTTCATCTTTTTAATTGATAAACGACTTCAATTAGTACAACCAACAAGTAAATAAGAAGAAATATTTGAGTTTCAAGGACGGGAGCCAAAAAATCTAAATCATCAAAAATTTTTAATGCATTTAATGAAACATTGGATGGCTTACACAATTATGCGCCCTTTGATTGAAGCCAAAAATAGTAGAAGTTGCATTAAATTATGCATCTTTTTCCCCTGTCTAAGCAATGACATTTTTTTTTTTATGATGAAATTAAAAAGTAAAAGAATTTTGGATTTAATTAAGAGGTAATATTTAATTCGTTTAAAGTTTAAAATTCAATATCTATAATTCATATTTTTATCATTGATTTCAATTTTTTCGTAAAAAAAAATAAAAAAAAAAGATTTTGTACATTTTCATTTATCCTTGAAATTAAATTAAAATACTGGGATATTTAATTTAATAATAAGTGTATTTATTTTAAATTATTAAATTAAAAGGATTGAGTTCAAATCTCGATTTTATTTCTCTCCTTTGAAACTCGAAAAAGTTTGGCTAATTAATGGAGTAATAAAAAACAATAAACAAGAAACAAAAGAGAAACTAATTAAGCAAGCTGTAGATTTGGTTCCATGCGAAGTTCATTTTTTATAAGATGCCATGATGCTTCTTTCACCATTATATCCCATGATATCTCCCAAATATGTGAAACCATCGAATTTTATAGATTTAGTGATTTTCAACATAATCCAACCGATACTGTTCCATCTTTATAACCAAGAATCCACCATGGGAAGAATATATATATGTATATATTAACTTAGGTCTAGGAGAGGGACAAGTCCTTTTTAATTTCTAGTGCTTGAGATGCAAACATATCTAAAAATGAACTCATCTTCTTGGCATATTTTTCTTCTGTGGAAGTTGACACTGGTTTTAAAAAATTCTTTTTGCTTTTACATTTGAGATTATCAAGGAATAAATTTCGATCATTGAAATTAAAAATTCAATATTTTATAAATATATAAACATAAAAAATTAAATTCTGAAACGAACATTTTTTCTACTTTTATGAAAGAAAAAGAAGGTTGTAATTATTTTTGTTTTGGAATACTATTATTCTTTGATTTCTTGGACATGGTCAAAGTTTAATCTCAACCAGGACATTTCTTGTCTAATCAGTTACATTAATTATTCACTAATTCTTTGACCAAAGTAAATGCTTTTAGGTAGTGTCATTACATCCTTTGTCAATTTTTTTGTGCATCAAAATAAATCTGGTCTCTCTGCCTCATAAAAAAACAGAACATGTAGTCTAATATTGGCTCTTTATTAGGTTCATGGTCCGACAATTAGATTAATGAAACCCACAACTCACAGACAATTTGTTGATACTTAAGTTCTCAATCTCTGCAGCCTGGAGCAGAATTAACATGGCGCAGAGCAAAAAAGAGCAATCCGCCAAGATCACTGCACTTGTTGTGGACGATGATATGATCAACCGAACGATTCACCACAGGCTGTTGGACAATCTTGGCATAGAAAATGAAGTCGTCTGCGATGGGAAAGAAGCTGTTGATGTCCATTGTGCTGGAAAAAGCTTCGACCTCATCCTAATGGACTTGGATATGCCTGTCATGAATGGCATTGAGGTAACAAAATGTTTGGCCTATAATTAATTATTAGTTCATTTCATTGGCTTCTTTACAATATTATAACTGAAACATCAGTAACTCTGATTCAAAGCACTGCATGATTTGGAATGGCAGGCAACGAGGAGGCTTCGTGAAATGGGAATCCGTAGCCTGATTGCAGGCGTGTCGTCACGCTCAGTAGAACAAGAAGTAAGAGAATTCATGGAAGCTGGTCTGGATGACTACCAGGAGAAGCCCTTGACAATGCCTAAGCTTGTCTCTATTATCCGTAAGATCAACCCCAATGGTTAGGAACATTGTTACGACAACAAAGCGGTTGCCTTGACTCAAAAACCCAACCATCTCTCCGGTAGTCATCCATATCTTTTGTTGTACGATCACAAGAAGCTAACCCCATTCTTTACTACAATGGTTTCTATTATGGTTGCAACTAAGTTTTAGTTTTTATTTTCGCTGTTAAATTTCATTGCAAAAAGCACATTAGCCATTGTTTTTTCAACCAATCTTATTTATATCGAATCTAATGAATTTAAGAAAAATTACGAATTTGAACCGAGACAACAAAAAAAGAAATATACTCTCTTTATTACTTAAACCAACCATCCTTCGGTCCTTATGCATATGATTTGCCTTAGAGAATGTGGTGTTATTTTAGCTTGCTGGTAACAGATTGCTTTCTTTGGTGTATTGTCTATTATTTTGTGCAGAGCAATCATGCATGTTAGAACTTGGAGAAAACCTCCATTTGTAAACTTCCAATATAAAATTGATGAGGGAGGCCAGCCCACACGTGAAATTTTGTTGCATGTCGTTTGTTATTGAACAAAAATTTTTTTGTGGTGTAAAAAAAAATTAAGTAAAATTACTTATTTTTAAGAATACGGATAAGATAAATCGTCAATCCAATTAAAATTTATGAATTCATTAAATTTTTACCTGTAAATTTTTTAAATTTACATATCATTTATCAATAAAAAATAAAATATTTAAATTTATATACATTAACATATAACATTCGTCTCTTATTATTTTTCTCGATTCTAATTGATAATATAAAATAAAATTGACATATATATTTCCATACCCTGTAACTAAAGGAGATTTGGAATGAACGTTAGAGAATGTGGAATTTACTCTAATTTTGCTTAGGGTCTAGTGGTGGAGGGGGAAGTCTGATCAAACAGAGGAGCTTGACTAATATTTCCTTATAGAAGACACAACTTTTGTTAAGGACTAAGGGAGGAGAGTGTTTCTTTTTTTTTTTTTTTTTTTGGAATCTTTCAAAATTTTACTTTGTTTTTACATAGGAAGGAACTACATCAAAAGATTTAATGATAAATGCTTGCATGTGTGCCTTTATTCAAAGAACCAAGTTATAATCCCAAATTCTTTCAAAATAAATAAATAAATAAATAATATATTTTGAGAGAGAAAGGTCTTAAACGACCTAATATTAGAGTGGATATTGTATATTGAGGCTGAGAATTGATGGAATAAAGTGAAATGATCTCTTTTTTTTTTTTTAAATTGCATTAATAATAAAGTATTATGTCATTAAATAATTAATTAATAAATTATAATTTAATTAAATAATTAAACCCACACACAATAAGATTTGAATTTAATATTTTAAAGTTTTAAAACCTTTCTTGCTATTAAACCAATTGTCAAATTCAATTTATTTATATAATTATTTTTTAAAAAATAATATTTTGTTCAAATTTTAATATTTATAACATTTTTATTGAAAATTACTATTTCCATATTTCAAAAGAAATTACAGTTTCCATTATAAAAAATGATAAATCTGATTATTAATAATTTCATTTAATGAATTATATGAAAATTTAATAAAAAAATCTTATTGCACGGAATTGGGCCTCCTAGTTTTTTTTTTTTTTTGGTAAATAAATTTTTAAGATTTTTAAAAAACAAGGAACCGTGTCCTTCGGATGGCTCCCTTCCTTGACGGCTGACGCACGCCTAAACCGTAAACCTCTAGGCGCGTTTCTTCCAGATCCTTCTCTCTTCCCTCAATTTATTTCTCTCTCTAAAACCTCCCTTAAACCCTAAAACTTCCTCCGCTGCTTCGTCACCGCTGCTCCGCCAACATGTATCGTTTTGCCGCTTCCCTTGCTTCCAAAGCCAGGTAAACACGCCCACTCCCCAGCACCGCCACCGCCGCTATCTCACTCTTTATCTCTTATATAATCATTTTCTTTTTATTCTTTTGAGTTCTAATTACTTTTGCTCCTTTCTAACTTGTAGGTTGGCCAAGAACAATACCCAGTTGGTAAGATTATATATATATATATATATATTTCTCTGAATCTCTTTCTCCTTTTTGTTGTGTATTTGATTTTGATTTTGATATGGATATTTGCTTTTGTTACAGATTGGTAATAGATTGAGTTGGAGTCGGAACTATGCGGCTAAAGACATTAAATTTGGTGTAGAAGCCCGCGCCTTGATGCTTAGGGGCGTTGAAGAGCTGGCCGATGCTGTTAAAGTCACCATGGGTCCAAAAGTCAGTCCTTTATTCACATTTACTATAGATTATAGCAAATTTGTGTATATAAAATGCACTGTAATATAATGTTAATCACATAGCAAATTTTGATGTTCTTTTAATGTGCATTTTGGGTGGTGAAAACTGAAAATAACAGTTGCTTTTGCTGTTTTGGAAAATTTAATCCATTTTTCTTTGTGAAAAAGTTTGTGTATTGGGATTGAGATTTCAAGCTTCACACGGTTTGTTCTCAAGAAGTGTCCTTTAACTAGTCCCTTTTGATGGGCTATTGATTATTGGGCTATCTTCTCATTTCTTCCTCTTGTGATTGATTGATGCAAAGTTATTGAGGTTTCATATATTTGAGATCACTTGATATGATTAATATAGATATATTCTAATATACATTTAGCTTCACTTCCTTCCAGACATATGGGGAGGTGCTTGGTAGTAGTTAACTAAAGTATGTTGCTTTTTTGGTCAACTTTTACACAGGGCCGTAATGTTGTTTTGGAACAAAGTTTTGGGGCCCCTAAGGTGACAAAAGATGGTGTTACTGTAGCCAAGAGCATTGAATTTAAAGACAGAGTAAAAAACATTGGTGCCTCCCTTGTAAAGCAGGTCGCAAATGCCACCAATGATGTTGCTGGGGATGGTGAGGATTCATATGTTACACTAGCCTGCTAATTTAGTAAATCATGTTTGTTAATATTGATGTTTTTCTTTTCCTAATGGAATGGAGGGAAACCATAGGAAAAGAGCTCACTTTTACTGAATTTACCAAGGATATAATCTTGAATAAAGTACAGCGGTGCTACATTATCCGTCAATCCAACCCTGCATTGAGGGAAAAGACTTCATTTTGTTGTTCTTGTTGTTCTATGACGTCGGAGAAGATGTTGGAAATATGGGACAATCTGGGTTTGCATAAGTATAACGGTAAACCTTGACGTGATAGTAGTGTTTACTGATATAAAGCTTGTCTTGTTCACAGGCACCACTTGTGCGACAGTCCTCACCCGTGCAATATTTGTTGAAGGATGCAAGTCAGTGGCAGCTGGAATGAATGCCATGGACCTCAGACGAGGAATTACAATGGCAGTTGATGCAGTTGTGACAAACTTGAAGAGCAGATCACGAATGATCAGCACATCTGAGGAAATTGCACAGGTTTGCTTCAATGAAAAAACATTTTTTCTAAGACTGGAAGGCTGAACCTTAGAACAGGACCACTATGAGTTGATCAGGTGGTGTTTTCAATATAACTTATATCATTATTTCCTCTGAAGGTTGGAACAATATCTGCAAATGGAGAAAGGGAGATTGGTGAGCTCATTGCCAAGGCTATGGAGAAAGTTGGCAAAGAGGGTGTTATTACCATTGCTGTAAGTCATTTATTGAATTCTTCTGTTTATGTCATTTCTGTTACTTGAATTCTTTTATCACTAGAAATTTTTCTTGGAATCTTCTTTCTCACCTATTCCTTTTCCAGTTGAGCCATGTTCTTTTTTGCAGTGCCATTTTCTGTCTTATTGGATTCGAGTTCTTCAGATGTATGAATTTTGTTTCTCCCTTGAATTCTTTTTCAGGATGGGAAAACCTTGTACAACGAATTGGAGGTTGTCGAGGGAATGAAGCTTGACAGGGGCTACATATCCCCTTACTTTATCACCAACCAGAAGAACCAAAAATGTGTAAGTGTATTTTGGTGTAATATTTGGTGGTTTCTTAGCACATTATATTGCCAGGAAATGATGGGGTACTACCGCCTTTTTTCCCTGTAAACATCATCAGTGTTACAAACAATTGGTTTTATTTTGCCAGGAATTAGAGAACCCACTCATTTTGATCCATGAGAAGAAGATCTCAAACTTGCCTGCTTTGGTTAAAATTTTGGAATTGTCCTTGACAGTGAGTGGTTCTATCTGAGGATAATCACAAAATTTGTATTATGTTATCACATTGGTAGACTAATACGTAATGTTGTTCCAGAAGCAAAGGCCTTTACTAATTGTTGCCGAAGATCTTGAAAGTGAAGTACTTTCAACTCTCATTCTGAACAAGCTTCGTGTTGGAATCAAGGTATTTTAATACTTTTCTGCGAGAAACTGTGGCTATTATATAGGCTCATACCATCAAGGTTGGAATCTTACTTTTTCAATTGTGGTTGGTTGGAAAGGTGTGCGCCATTAAAGCCCCAGGGTTTGGTGAAAGTAGGAAAGCTGGTTTGCAGGACCTTGCTACTCTCACAGGAGGCGAGGTAACTTCTCTCCCTCTCTCAACTTAAGACTTTGAATTACTACTTGAAGCATTAACCACCATATCTCTTACACCTGGTTTTTATAGGTAGTAACTGAAGAACTTGGTCTCAACATTGAAAAGGTGGGAGCAGAAGTGCTTGGCTCTTGCAAAAAGGTTGGTTAATTAATAATGTCTTCCTTGTTAGCATAGAGATATGGTTTTCAGGCTACAACAGTTTGGAAGAGACTCTGCCTTGTTGCTCTCAACATCTCTAGTTAGGTTGACAAGTATAGATTTTTTGTTTATATTTTGCTACTTTTTTTTGGTTGAAAGGCATATTTGTTTGCTTTTCAGTCTGGTTGTGGCTTTGTGCTAACTTCTGTGGGCTGCAAGTGTAGGTTACAGTATCAAAGGATGACACAATTATCCTTGACGGGGCTGGAGACAAGGCTGGCATTGAAGAAAGATGCGACCAAGTTAGTTTTGTTGCTAATTTTCACATATCTTTGACAATTATCTGGATTTTTTGTATAGTAGTATT